TCTCAAGTGGGGCTGATTATTTCCCCTACCCTGGAGGGACATTTGGCAGTGTCTGAATAGTTTTTTTTTTAAAGCTAGTATGCTTATTTTAACATGTATAATTCAGTGGTTCATGACTTTATGCACCATCACCACTATCTAACTGTCTGGACATTTTTTATTGTCATAATTGAAGGTGTGTACAACTAGCATCTTGTAGGTAGAGGCCAGGAAGGCTCTAAATAACCTACTAATGTGATACACAGGACAGCCCTACGCCCTCCCCAGTAAAGAGTAAAGAATTATCTGGTCTAAAATGTCAGTAGTGCTGAGACTGAGAAGCTGTGCTCTATAAGAAAGGCCCTAAGATTTGTGCAGGAGGGGCTGGTATGTTTTGCTTAGAGTTGAGACCATCAAGGGGGGTGTTGAAATGATGTGGGCAATGAATGCTAGAGAAGGAGACGGGAGTGGAATGTTGCTGGTTTGTATATATGTGTGATGTGTGTGCTGGTGTGCATCTCATGATACTTCTATGCTCCAAAGCCATGCAGTAAAAGAGGATATTTGTTAGACATTTCCACCTTGAGTGTGCAAGTAATTCCTTGGCATGTGTCCTGGGTGGGGAGGCAAGTATGATACTGAGAAAAATCATGAATATGTGAGATTACTGAAGTACTGGTTCAGCCATCAACTCTGTGCTTGCTGGACACATCTTGCCATGTTTAAGACTGTGCTGGATTTAGTGGAGAAGATAGGCAACCATTAGACCCTGATCTCAAAGAGCTATTAGATCCAGATGGGAAGACAAAATTTAAAACACAGGAATTAGCAAAATTATGTGGAAAAGTAAACAGTGGCCAAAAATGATGTATAACTCCATCACCAATCTCCAATTCCTGATACAGTTCTTGGCATGGGGGAGCTTCCCTGCAGAGTGGTCAAGTGAAACTACTGAGCTACTTTTCTGACCAAGGCTTCATTTATTTTTGTTCTCATCCCCTTGCCATCCAACCCAACAGGAAACCTTTTTGGGCCCAAACGGATCCCTTTTATATCTTCTTTGTTTACCTCTGCTGCTACCAAGTACACCACCTAGTCGCTGCTGTCCCCCTCAGGATGGTGTGAGAGCTCACTACCAGCCCTTCCTGCCTGTCTCTCATCCATCAACGGCAGCCACGTGAACTCTGAAAATGTGAAAATGACCAAGCAGTCCCCTGAGTTTAAGAAACTGAAGAAAGGGAATAAGAAAAAGTTAGCTGCCTTGTGCTCAGAACAAAATCCAGACGCTGGCAAGGCCCTACAGGATCTGGCCTTTTCTTATCTCTCAAACTTGACTGTGTATGTGCTCCGGCCACACTGGCCTTTTCTCAGTTCCTTGAATGTTATAAAATGATTCCCACCCCAGAGACCTGGCCCTTGTTGTTCCTATCTCCTGAGACATTTTGTCAAGATCTTGGGGTGGCACTTTCCCTGGGTTTTAGATATCTTTTTGAGAGGCTTGCTCTGACCAGTGGTCTAAAGCAGCCAATCCTGCTCCCACGCTCTTGTGCACATTCATATGCACTGTACAATCTTCTTCATAGCACTATCACCACTCTTAGAAATTGCCTTGATCACTGTTCATTTGTGTGTGTGGCTTTGTTCCTTTCCAGCTGTAAGACAGATGAGAGCAGTGACTCTGATGTCTTTGTTCATCATCATATTCCCAGCACCTGGTGCCCAGCAGGCCCCAATACCTGGTTTTGAATAGGTGTATAACAGGGTAGTTTTTTTTTTTTTTTTTTTTTTTTTTGTAACAGGGGTAGCACCCAGGGATACTCTGTCACTGAGTTACTTCCCCAGTCCTTTTTATTTTTTATTTAGAGACAGCATCTTGCTAACATGCCCAGACTGGCCTCAAACTTGTGATTCTCTTGCCTCAGCCTCCTGAGTCACTGGAATTACAGGTGGGCACCACTATGCCCAGCAATGAAATGTAGATTTTCTTCTGCAATGTGTGGTCCATTTTGTTCATTAGGAATAGGACCCTGAAGGAGGTGGATGATTAAGTGGAACTGGAAAAATGGTAATGACTGGCTAAATGCAGTGACAACAGAAGGATATTATGGGGTCAACAATCATGCAAAGGCTTGGAGGTGGAAAATCAAGGTCCAAATGATACTAGAAAGTTTTGCATGAGTAGTGTAAAATATGCCCTGGAAATAGTCTTAAGTCAGGTTTTGGAGAGAGGGGCAGCTGGTTGATAAAGGCCCTGAAGAGATCTGCACAAGACTTGATCAATGGAAAATGGATACCATGGGGACTTTAGGGCAAGGAGGTACCATGAAGAAAGGTAACAAGAACCTGTGGTGGAGCTGGCTATGGTGGTGCATGCCTGTAATCCCAGTGGCACAGCATGGGGTGGAGTCCGGGAGTCAGGGAGGAGAATTACAAGTTCAAAGTCAGCCTCAGCTACTCGGCAAAGGCCTAAGAAACTTAGTAAGACCCTGTCTCAAAATGAAAAAATAAAAAAGGGCTGGGAAGGTGGCTCAGTGGTTAAGTGCCCCTGGGTTCAATCCCTGAGCCAAAAAAGAACCTGTGGTGTTATGCACAGTAGACTGAAAAGAAGACAGCAGGAAGCCTTCCCATAACAAGGTCCCCATGGTACCTGCAGGTGCTTTTAAAAATGCCACTTATCAAGTAATGTCATGACTGTCTCCTAAATTTTGTAAAGGCAGGATCTACGGTGAATTCTCTATCATGCACAGTATCTGGCACTAGGAAATACATTTAAATGTTTGAATCAATGCAGAGATGATAGAACTGGGTTACTTCAGGAAACATTTGGAACATCTGAAAGCTGCAGCAGTAATGCCTATAATAATAGGTGTGAACAAAATGGACCAGCCTCAAAAACATTTGGTGGGGAACGCCATCTGGATGCAGGGGTTCTTTAATTGTTGGGGGCAAAGGACAGAATGTTTCCAGCACAGGTGATTTGAGATAAAGTCATTCTGCTGACCAGCAGAGGCTTATGGAGAGAAAAGAGGGAAGGTTATAAGTACAGGGATGCATATTTGAATTTACTCTGAAACATTTAAGCAGATATGTCTAACAAATGGTTAGTGATATGCTCCACATTTAGACTGTATTACATAATTATATATGACAAATCCTGACCAATATTTTCTGAAGTAACTCCCAGAAATAAGCTACTGTTTAAAAGGAAATAAAAATCAGAAATAACTGGAAAAGGCATGTCCTAATGAACAATTGTTTGTGAGATGGAAAATGTCAATGGAACTCTCTGAAGCTAAGAAATATAATGTGCCTATTAGCTCAGGCTGGGTCAATTAAATAAATGCTGTTCTTTCAGGAGTGAAGTACCTCAGCTAACTGGTTGAGGAGAAACTCAAATGGGAAAACAGTTTTTTTTAATCATAAATTTAGATATCGAGTAGTTCATTCAAAAATAAACATTTCTGTGGTTCTAAAACATAACTCTCAATTTGCTAAAATCAATTAAATGTCATTTTTGCCTAAGAAATTTGTGCAGAGGACACTTTTATCCCTTGATAGAAAAAAAATGAATGCATGGAGTAACGCAAAGGGTGCCACAGAGTGGCATTATTAAAGGCTTTAGAATTTGCATGGGTCAAAATCCAGGCCTTTGTGATGGGCTCTGACAGTGAGTCAATAAAACCACACATGTGTTTGTCTCTGGGACAAAGTAATTCAGGCTTCCTTGCTAACTTGGGTAAATAGCTTCTAAGGGCCTGCAAAGATCCTGGCTGCTTCTGAAGACTGCCAATTCCAAGTTCCCACCAACTGTTCTTACTGGTGCCATATTATAATCTCAATTCTTTTTTCACTTACCTCCATCACTGATAGCCACATGATTTCAGTTCCTATATATGCTATCTGGCTTTTAGACCAGTTTCTTGTTACAATACTGAATACTACTGCCTGGCATTTTCAATTCTGGAATTCTTATTGAATCTGCTTTTTTGGCCAGGGCCTTATCCCTCATATGTCAAGATAAAACATGTAAGAATTAGAGTTAAGAATTTTAGTTGGAAATTAGTCCAGGATGCCTATTTTGAGTATTGATTGATTGATTGATTGGTTTGGGGATTGAACCCAGAGGCACTTTACCACTAAGTTACATCCTCAGTCCTTTTTGATTTTTTTTTTTTTTTTTTTTTTTTTTTTTAGTTTGAGGTAGGATCTTGCTAAATTTCCAAGGCTGGCCTTGTACTTATGATCCTCCAGCCTCTGCCTCCCACACTGTTGGGATTACAGGTGTGTACCACCACACCAGGTCCTATTTTAAGTCTTGCTGGTTTAGATGAATATGAGCCACAGATGATTTAAACTACATAGTGCAGTACTGAACAATGGTTACACACACCAGTCTTGGGATCAGGCAGACTTAGGTTGTAATCCTAGCTCTGTTACTTACTCTCTGTTTGATCTTGGGAAAATTGCTATCTGTGTGATTTTTGTCTCCAAATTGGGATAATAAAAATACTTACCTTGTGGGCTATTGTGAAGATTAAATAAAATGGTTTAAGTAAATCCTTTAGTTTATAGTTCCTGACATACAGCAAATGGCAGTTAATAGAGTAACTTCAGGTTTTGTTGTTGCTGCTGTTTGTTCTGGGAATAAAGAGAAGCCCTGTTCTTTTTCACACTATTCAGATTATTTTTTAGGCTCAGTTATGGACTAGGATAAGTAATAGAAGAGAAGTAGTATTTCTGCCCTGGAGAGACAGTGTTCTGCTCAAAGAGATTCAAAGGATATTTCATGACAAAGTAATTCTAAAAACGATAGCAGTATGCAGTGCTTCTGAAATACCAATTTTCTGAAGACAGAATTATTACAAACTGCCATCCTGTATTGAGTGATGGTAGAAAATAATATTTATTTTAGTGTCTAAAAACCTCCTGAGCTTCTCCGTTTATACTCAACACCATGTGCTTCATACTAAGTCCCACTTGCTTAGTACTGGCCTATACGGATGTAGGGACTCGGTCCTCACCTGGTGGGCTTGTTGTAAGAGTTCCATTCTCTCCTGGAGAATCTGACAGTCATACTCTCTGCTCTTCCTCAGCATTTGCCGCCGTAACTTTTCTACTGCCGTCCTCAGCTCCTCTTGCTGTTTTTCACTTAATAATTCACCAAACTTGATAACAGTTTCTTGCTGCAGAGCATTGTACAAAGTAGCTTCTAGTTCCTGGATTCTCTGGCAAATAGAATTAGAAAGGTCTAACTTTGGAATGGAGCATTTATGTGTGGTGTGGGAATGTACAGGTGTGGGTGGATATGCACATGGAGGGGTGCCTGAGTCTCCCTGGATCCTGGTGATAGAAGACATTTCAAAGTTTCTCCAGCCCAACTACCCTTCTGGATAATCCTCCTATGAGGGAAGACCACCTGTGAACTGCTCTAGTGGCAGAGATTCATTCATTCTCTGTCTTGGGATCCTGACCATTTCATATACTTTTCATTTTTAGAAAGCCCTTTGTTAAAATAGCCATACCTCCCTCTATTCTCAAGTATAGCTAAGAATAGGTTTATTCTCTCATTTAAAAGCCCCTCAGAAATTTAAAAGCATCTATCATGGTGGCCATTCTTTTAGAATTAAGTGATCTAAGTTGGAACAAAATACTTGAAATTGAAGATATATTTCATCCACAAAATGCTGCCTTTCTTTCACACAACAATTCTCTGTACTTGGGCTGGGGATGTGGCTCAAGCGGTAGTGCGCTCGCCTGGCATGCGTGCGGCCCGGGTTCGATCCTCAGCACCACATACAAACAAAGATGTTGTGTCCACTGAAAGCTAAAAAATAAATATTAAAAAATTCTTTCTCTCTCTCTCTCTCTCACTCTTTCTTTTTCAAAAAAAAAGAAGAAGAAGATGGCTCGATGGTCTCCATGTTTTTTTTTTTTCCTTGAAACAAAAATTGGGGAATATGATTCAAATACGGCTTAGATTCTTGGAATTGGTCTGTTTGTAATACACTGAGATTTATGGTAGCTMTAGTGTTAACATTTCTCTGTGAATCCTTGCTCTGAGAGATAAAAAGATTCTACTGTCTCTTACAGCTCAGGGTTTGTACTTGTATTTTTATACTCTTCAGATACAGTTGCCAAAAATCTATAATTGTATCTCCTCTGATTTTTGACAGGAGTAACTGAGCATGTCCGGATGGGGATATTTTCCTAGCTCTTAGCCTTGACTAAGCATATCTGTCTTTGAAAAGTTAAATATGGTTTTCTAAATGAGGACTCAATACTTTTGGGAATCATATACATACCCAGCTCAATTTTAGTATGTATAGGAAGGGTAGGAAGGGAGGGGAAAAATCACTTGCTTCTTTGTTCTCTAAGTAGTAACCAATTGTCATTCTCTTCTTTTCCTTTCAAACAATGCCAGAGTCTCTTATTCATTTTGGAGAGGGAAGACTAATTCATCTTTGTAATAATAAGGGGCTAAGTGTATCACTCTTCCCCCAAAGTGACTCAGTCTGCTTCCAGGAAAGCATTATAAAAACCTCTGTTAGCAGCTTCTTGAAATATTCCTCTGGTTTGTTCTTTTTCTTTTGATTTATTACTATGAATTAATGGGGGCAGGGCACGAGGAGAAAGGAAATATGAGTTGGAGTCCAATATTAGCAATCCTGCAATATGAATTGATGGAGAAGAAATCAAACATGAGTCTCTATCAGCATATCTGTGGGGGAGGAAAAGGCAAGAGTCCACTTACTGACATAGCCTTATTGCTGTGCCTGGATTAGGGTAGCTCAGACCATAGCTAAGACCACAGCATCTAAAGCCAGACCTATACAATACCCACTGACTGGCCTAGGAAAGTTTTGTTTTACTCTCAAGACTTTCCTTATATGTAACGTAGCAATAGTGATATCCATGTCTTACAAGGTAATTATAAGAAATAAATTAATTAAAAATATGCATAAAAAACATTAAAACATCATTACTCTACCACTACATTAGACTTCCACATGTCTAGGTTGCTTAAATAAAATTTCTTTTTCATCTAAACTGCCATCCAATGTGTCTCAATGTTATTTAACAGCCTAAATTTAATTTTTAAAAAATAAAGTATACTTATCTAACATTTTAAGAACACTATAAAAGAAAAGAGTAAGGAAGTTCTTGTTCTAAAATTAGAACCAGATACCAGTAAGTATATGGCCTGTACATTGTGGTCTGCTCAAATACACAGCATGATCAATTAAGTAGGATCCCTGACTCCACAGCAAACAATTGTAAATTCTCTGGATGGCTCCATTGCTTGGTGTACTTACCATATATGCTTGGTCGAGAGCTTGTTTTCTGTAGTCTAGTTCTTCTTCCAGATAGCCTTTTATTTTGCAGAATTGTTCCTATAATAAGGGCCACATTGATAAAGAAAAAGAGTCAGCTTAGTTAAATAGAAAGTGGTATATAAATCACACTGATTAATGTTTTCACAAATTCCAATGAAACAACAAATCACTGGTATTTGTAGAATCAGAGACTTTTGTTAGGGAAAGAGTCTAATGTTCACAGTCTCACACAGGGAATATGAAAATCAATAGACTGAGGTATAAAAGACATAATGAAAAATCCACATGGAATGCTCCAAGATTTTTATTGGAGACAATGTGATTAAGCACAGATTTTGACAAGCTATGTGTTAAATAATAAGTCCATTTGTGTAAATACGGTCGGGTCTGCATCCAGATTCAACCAAATGCAGAGTGAAATTACTCGAAAAATTGTACATCTGTACACGTAGAAACTGTTTCTCTTATTATTTCCTATAAAAATACAGTATAAAAACTAATATGCAGCATTTACATTGTATTAGGATATAACAGATAATCTAGACATGAGGTCAAGGATATAAGATGATGTGTGCCAGCTATATGCAAACATCGTGCCATTTTATATAAGCGACTTGTCCATCTATGAATTTTGATTCAGCAGGGGGTCCTGGAACCAAAGTCCTATGAACACAAAGGGAAAACTCTATATCGTGATAGTATATGTTCTTAAGAATATTGTGAAATTTGTATGATAACCAAATTTAACTTACTGAAATTTGTCTGTGTACAATTAGCAAACTCAGACACAAATAACATTGTGGTGGGGGGGGCAGTTGTGCCTAGGCTGCCCCTTGATGAGCAGGTGTCTGCCCTTGCCTCAGACCTGCTGTGAGCTGGAGACGGCACTGATGCTTCCTCCCTTGCTCCCAGTTCCAGTGGGCTTCTCATATCCTGGACATTGTGCCATTAGGATTTAAAACTGCATCTTTGTGTACAGCATAGTCACAAGTGAAAGTCAATTATTTATTTGGGTGCTTAATTGAAGGGATAGGGACCTTTTCCTGTCCTGGAGAAGCCTCAGTGATGCAGGACTTTGAGACAACAGGAAGCAATTTCGCTGTTGACTTTCTTGATCACCCTTGGGTTCCACTGCCTACAGCCAGCTGATACAGGCTGATTGCTTCATTAGTAACTGTGCATTTCAAGAGCTTTCAAGGGTAATTTTGAACATAGACATTTCTTGTTATATGTTTTGACTATAGAGTCTATTCCTTTTGGTAACTTTACATAGAGCATAAGTAAATGATTTATATGCTGTAAAAATACAAGTTGTTTTAATTCTCTGATAGGAATACACTATATTTTTTTAATGATAATGAGAATATTTATGAATTCTGTCATAAAATTTTATACATTTCTGTAGGTTAATAATAACCAATTCTTTTTTTTTTAAAGAGAGAGTATTTTGAGTGAGAGAGAGAGAGAGAAAGAGAGAGAGAGATTTTATTTATTTATTTATTTTTCAGTTCTCGGCGGACACAACATCTTTGTTTGTATGTGGTGCTGAGGATCGAACCCAGGCCGCACGCATGCCAGGCGAGCGCGCTACCGCTTGAGCCACATCCCCAGCCCAATAATAACCAATTCTGACACTTGGGAATTTAAGTTTTAAAATCATACTGTACTACACATAAAATTTACCATTGTAACCATTTTTAAATGTTCAGTTCAGTGTTGAGAAGCATATTCATATTGTTATGCAACTAATGTGCAAACATTTTTCATCTTGCAAAACTGAAACTAGTCTCATTAAATACCTTTCTATTTTTTCTTCCTCTCAATCTTTGGTAACAACTCTCTCTCTCTCTCTCTCTCTCTCTCTCTCTCTCTCTCTCTCTTTACAAATCAAATAGTGATTTTGTTATTTTTACTTATTTTTTAATTGGTGCATGATGACTAGACATAATAGTAGGATTCATGGTCACATATTTGTACATGCACCTAAAATAATTTGAATTTCATTCTTTCTATGTGTTTGACTACTCTGGTTACTCACATGAGTGGGATTATACAGTACTTGTCTTTTTGTGACTAGTTGATTTCATTGAACACAGTGTCATCAAAGTTCATCTACACTGTAGCTTATGTTAGATTTTCTTCCCTTTTAAGGCTGACTTATATTAGAAATATGCCATATTTTGTTATCCAGTCACACATCAATGGACATTTTGATAACTTCCACCTTTTGACTATTGTTAATAATGTCACCATGACTATGAGTACACAAATCTCCCAGACCCTACTTTTAATTCGTGTGTGTGTGTGTGTGTGTGTGTGTGTATGTGTGTCCAGATGTGATATTGCTGGATTGTATGATAATTCTGTTTTGAATTTTTTGGGGTAATCACCATACTGTTTTCCAGAGGGGCTGCACCTTTCCCAATAGTGTATAAGGAATCTGATTTCTCCATATTTTTTCCAACACTTGTTGATTTCTATTTTTTTTAAATAATAATCATCCAAACAGATGTGAAGTGGCTTGGCAATTTAAGTCATCACACTTTCAGTCACCATTTCTATAATTTTTACTTGATAATTCTATGCAGCAAAGAAATTAGCCTAAAAAAGAAAACACCTTATTCAATTTTCTGCAGCTTTAGTTTTGTAAATATCACCAAAATACGTACACTGCTCTTTTTGGAGAATATAACTTGAAATTGTTGAAAACTTCTCAAATTTTATTCCACAGTTTGTATGCAAACAGGGAAATTACAAACTTCCATCAGTGCTGGATCAAACCAAAGAGGCAACTTTCATTTTCCATTTGCCTTATAAATGTTTGCTAATTTTCATGGTACTTTGTCTTTGCACTCACCATGTCACTTTCCAATTCCATCATTTTCTGGTGTAGGGCGGCCTCTGCTCCTTCAATCTGCTGGATCCACTAGGGATTAACAAGAAAACATCTGATATGACTGAGTGATCTGGCATGCACCTTGCAGGCTGTTAATGGGCTCCTCATTCCTCAGTCTCCCCACTTTAGATCTTAGCAGGCTGAGAACTCTAGTGAAAACTTAATGCATTTTCTTTTCTTTTGGTTCAGATACAAGGCTAGAGTCTTCCCTGCGTGTTTAATTCAACAAATGCCTTCACTGACATCTGTCTCTCATCAGGCACTATGCTTAGTGGTAGGGCTACAATGGTGAACAAGACCAACCAGGCTGTTGCTCCCACTGGAGGACACCTTGGGAGGCTCTCCTGGAAGTGGCAATTGCACTGAGGTCTAAAATAAGAGTGAAAGATACCTGGGGGATATTTGCAAAGGAAATCCCCAGCAGAAAGGACACTATATCCAGGTTGGAGGAAGGATAATAAGTAATAGTGATTTTTTAGTAGGAAAAACTGATTAGAGCAAAGTGATAAAGAATTATTTTTAAGTGGAGGCATTTCTAATAAATCACATATAAAGGACTTATCTTCCTAGTGTTCAGAACATATAATTCTGTTATATGGTATTGACGTTAGCATTGAAAAACACCCTGAATGATTTTAAACTATGACTAATACAGTGTGAGCGTACCACGTATATGGTTTATTATAATAGGTCTCTATCAAGTTAACCAACAGCTGATGTGTTAGAAAGGCAACTGGGCTTAATGGTTAAGTGTGTGGACTCTGCAGGGAGATTACCCTAGCTTTCTAGTTTTTCATGTCTGTGTGGTGTTAAAAGCTAACCTGACCTCTCTGTTTCAAGTTTCTTATCTATATAGTGGGTTAATAGTAATGTGAAGGTTAAAGAAAGAAAATCCACATGAAGCACTATTCATCAAGTGCTGCATTTACTCGTGTTCTTCTCCACCAGGTACATTATGTGGTACACAGAGCACTTCAGCATAGTAGAGCCTTAGTGTTTACAGACAGACATCATGTTCAGCCACCCTTTGGTGGTGTTTCTTTCCCTATAGGCTGGAAAGATACTCTCCACGTCCTTTGTACATACATATGGCTTCTTCTTGAAAAAATTTCAAAGCCACAGTTTATTTTATACTGTTGAGTTTTACTAAAATATTTCTTTTTGCTTATGGCTCATTTGTCATAGAGAAGCAAGTTTGTTTTTTAAATCAGGTTTTTGAGAGTACTGTGAATCTTTAATTATGAGCTTTAGCATAGATCCTTATGTTGAGTCCTGCCCCTTACAATTCTGTGCAATCCAGGACAAGTTACTGAATACCCTCAGTCTTGGTTTCCTCATGCATAAAGTGAAAATAGAGACATCTGTAGACTGGATGTGAGAAACAATGAGATAACATATGTACAGTGTTTACTGCAGAACCTGGTCTGCGTTCTCTCATGTAAACTCACTATTAGTATATTTTAATTTTAAAGATAGAACTTCCATATAGTACAATGCTATTCAAATTCATGGTTTCAGAAAACTCAAGGCTGACATTCAGAAATACTTGGGAGTAAAATCTTATCTGTGAGTCTCCCAAAGTAGGAAGTGACTTTGAATCTGTGAAATGCAAAGATCTGCTCCAAAAAGCAGTTGCATCGAGTATGAGCACTTTAGGGCAGATTATGTCTTATTCATCTGGTTCCTCAGTTTCTAACCCAGTGCTCAGCTCATAGCCGTCACTCTGTGTTTGTTCAACTGAACCCCACAGACACCTGACTTGCAAAGGAGGTAAGTAGAGGCATGCACCAATTCACCATAGTGCTAATAACTCAGCTCCCATCTGCTAGACAAGGTCTACTGCCTGCTTTTAATATGATGCCTGATGAGGAGTTTGATCAACATTAAGATTATGGAGTTTGAGTCTTGACTCTGACTCTAATCAACTTCTAGCTGTGTGACTTTGTGCAGTCACACAGAAGAAGACCTACCTTCTCTGTGCTTCAGATTCTCTTTGTAATATTGAGATGATAATAATGCTTAGAGTCAACAGTTAATGCTCAAAAGAGACACAGTGCAAGTGTTCATTGTGATTGAATGTACTTTGCACCACACTCACACAGGGCATCGATGGATTTAGATTGTTGAATCTAAATAAATATGAAGCACACAAGGTCATTTTTCTTTTCATCTCTCTAGTCTATACCTTTCATAGAATTACCCCCATTTTCTTGGTAGTTTTCAAGGCAGTTTTTCTTGCACTAAAGAATTGCAGTCCATCATAACTCAACTTCATGAGACTCTCTACCATTACTAAGTAAATTCTTAGAACTGGCGGGATGATTATGTTTTCTCCCTTTGGGTCACAGGAACTGTATCCTGTGAGCATTCACAAATTCATGTGTTTACTTCTTCAATGAACACTTACTGATCACCTATTCACCTGCTGTTCTGGTTGGAAAGCTTGGAGGGGAAAGAGGAGGGAGAAAGGAGACCATTTTGACCTCATAGGGCTTAGAGTCCAGTGCCAGGTAGATGGGGAAGGGTAGCAAAAGGAAAAAGTAAATGGGAAGGTGCAATGCAATGGTTAAAATCCCAGGAGCAAAGCACAGGCCAGTGTGAAAACACTGAGAACATGTTGAGAGCAAAGCCCTGCCTAGGGAAGCCTTCTGATTAGGATTTAGCCAGGAAGGCACATGCCTGGAATCCCAGGCTGGAGCAGCAGGATGGTAAGTTCAAGGCCACCCTGGACATCTTAGTGAGAACCTATCTCAAATTCTAAAAAATGGGCTGGGGATGTATCTCAGTGGTAGAGTGCCTGCCTAGCATGTGCCAGACCCTGGGTTCAATTCCTAGCACCCCATATACATATAAAAATTTAGCCAGACATAGAGAAAATAGGAAGATGGGAGCATCTTCTAGGTAAGAAGAATGGGGTAAAGGAACTAGGAATAGAGACAGAGATGGAGGAAGAAAGGGAGCAAGAGAATAAGAGGTGCTAGAAAAGTAATCAGTAAGTTAAATCCCAGGGGGTCCCCTTGTCAAAGTTTGGATTCTGGACCTGGATTTTGGGTTAGGGACAATGTGCTGCTACTAATCTGCTGGGGAAAGGAGAGGGAAGCCATTGGGTTAGTAAGTAAACTGTCCGATTTTAAAAGAGCAAAGCACAGCTTTCACATCATTTCATATGTAAGCACTCCAACATGCACTTCTTTCAGATAAAGCCTTAAAAAGACAAAAGAAAAAAAAAGAAAAGAAATCACAAGGCTATTTTCATATTTTGCATAATTAACTTTAATTTCTCTCATTATCTTATACCTGGTCCATATTAAAATTTCTCCAGTGGTCAGTGAAATGTCTTTAATTATTTATTTACTTATTTATTTTTTTGCTCAGCCACTGAGCCACATTCCCAGCCTTTTTAAATATTTTATTTTGAGACATGGTCTCACTAAATTGCTGAGGCTGGCTTTGAACACAATTGTGCTCCTCCTTCCTCAGCCTCCCAAGCTGCTGGGATTACAGGCATGTGCCAATCTGCTTAGCCAAAATAAATGTCTTTTTAAAAAAACAAACAAAGAAACAAACAAACAAACAAACAAAAACACCCCACAACACTTGGTTTCCCTACATCAGGATTAAAAAAGGAGCATTTTAATATTTCTTAAGTATCCTTTTTATTTGATAAAAAACTTCTTTCTTGCTCTTCCCTTCTCCCACCTACCATTTCCCCTTTGTGTCACTATTTGAAGTAACATATTTAAAAAATTTTTATAACTTTATTTGTTTACTTTTTTATGTGCTGAGGATTGAACCCAGTGTCTTACCTGTGCTATGCAAGTGCTCTACCAATCAGCTATATAGTCCCAGCCCCTGGAGTAACATATTTTGACCTGTAGAATTCCCTCATTTCAGATTGGAGAAAGCTGACTATATGTGCTTGGTTTCACTTAATCTCCAACAGATTTTTCTGCATCTCAGAACTTAAAAAGCATCTCAGTGAATGTATACAGTACAACTCTAATTTTACCCAAAGGTGTGTGACTCTCAAGTATGCACTTGTACTGAGGTGCACTGAACACAATCAGTTATCTGGCTTCTCCATTTATTTCTTTCCTCTTCTTCTTGCCTTGCCACTTACCATGGTTGGACACCAGGGGGCAAGAGCACACCAGTGTTGCTTTTCTCCTGACAGTCCCTACACAGGGCTTTCTGAATGGGACTGCAGTGAACCCTCGCCAAGCTACAGAATCAATGGAGAACAATATGTGTGTGTACACCCAAGGAAGAATGTGACAAGAATGGTGCTCCAGGTTACCTCCTCTCAACAAAATCCTTCTTTACTGGCTTCCCAGCTTAGTTAGGATGGGTTGAACAATGTAGCCCAGAAGTTTTTTAAAATATTATCAATTTTTTAGCTGTAGATGGACACAATACCTTTATTTATTTATTTTTATGTGGTAATGAGAATTGAACCCAGTGCCTTACACATGCTAGGCCAGTGCTCTACCACTGAGCCACCATCCTAGCCCCAAGAATTATATACTTTTTAGGGACTTCAAGGTTAAAATTATCCTAAATCAGTGTATATACTTTTAAAAACACATTTATACACACACACACATATTTTATATTCTCATTCAATCTGAGTTGGGTCACATTTATTACATATTCATTAATGCAAAGTCCTGTGCAAAGGGAATGTCCTCCATATTCTACCCTATTCTTTAGATGTTAAACCAGACATAGAGATGATGTGATATGTTACTAAGACTTATTACCTACCTTCTCTGCTAGGGACAGCACAGTACTGGCCTGAATGATGGCCACTTGTTCTTCATTTCTTAAATTCTGTGAAAAATAAAAGAGAAAGGCAATAAGATGAATATATTTATATTTACACTACAGAAAATAACTGATGTCATAGATGCTACTCTTTATGAATGCACAAAAGCTTAACAAATTCCTATTGCTTAGTAATAATTCCCAGTAGTTAATCCAAAACCTGAAAGAGGCATATCAAGTATGATTTCTTTTTCTTTTTTTACATTTCCCTAATTCTGATTTGATTTTGTGTTACTGCAAGGATACTTCATTAATAGCTATTTTATGAGAAAAACAGAAACCAAATAAAATAAAGAACACTCTTCATAGCTGTTTTGATGTGATTCCATAGATTTTGTTTTCTCCTTTGATAATTTTTCAGAATAAACAGTGACTCCTTGAACTTGCATGCATCATTCAGCTAGTATCACAATGAATGATCGCCCACTGAATTAATATGCCTCGACCCTGTCTAGAAGGAGTTTTTAGAAAGAAAAAGGATTATAGCTTTCTGCTTTGTTTTTATGGAGCTGCCAGCAACCCTAGTATTTAGCAGCATTTGCAAATGCCTGACTGATTAATTTTATACTGGATGCCTCTGAGCAACAGTCAGATGGTAATTAGCTTTAATGACTGCAGATGTGGTCAGCATTCAGATCTGAAACCTGCCCATGAAAAGCACTCTTCCGGGTCCCATTTCTGCTACTACCTCCTACAGATCCTAACATCCCCTTTGGCAAAGTTGCTTAATAAATTGTAGAATCTCCCAAGGGAGCTACATCTGTAAGTGAAAACGGTGTCTCACTTGCTATTATTTCATGTACATGATATACTGGTAAGTATTTCTTATCTCTTGTTTAGGCACATTCATATCTTTATCATACTTAATCAATTCATTACTTACCCCATTATCGCCCAAGATATCAAGCTGCTTTATGAGATCAGGGATGTTCACATCCTGCAAAATCAAGAAGATGCATTGAAGTCAAAGAGATGAATGTGGCTTCCTAATCTACCAGTGCCAGTCACCAATTCAGTGAAGTCATTTTAGGGCCATTATGTCTGTGGGCTGTCTTCCATGAGGCATACCTTGTTTTGAGTTTCCACTCTTGCTTCTTAACAGCCGTGTGAACTTGGGAAGTCTACTTAACAGTTCACTCTCAGCTGTCTCAGATGCAAGATAAAAGAGATAATAAAGAGATAATAAATATCTACCTCATAGGCTGGTGTACAGAATGAGGCTGTGTGAGAGTCTAGCATGAAGTAAGAACTTGGGGTATTAATTTTTATTCTTATAATTGCCAATTTTTCCCAATTATGATAGGTTTCAGGCATCAAAAAAGGTAATATAAAGAATCAATTTTGTTCTAATTAAAGGAACCCTGGTTTGGTTAATTTTGACTGTCACTGTAGAAAACTACAAAGCAATTCCTTTTTTTTTTTTTATATGGTTAGATTAATTTCATCCTTTGGGGAATAGCTTATGGAAGACTCTGGTTCTTGTATTTGTTTGGAGCAGCTAAACTCTGAAACATTTCTCTTGGATATAAGTTACATCCACTAAGTTGTTTAGAATTAGGATTTCTAATCCATTGGAATTAAATTATGATTTATCCAAGGAAAAATCTGAGGGGAAAAAAACCCCTGTTTTCATTTAATTAAAATTAAATTAAAATTTGCTTTGATTTACAAATTTTCATGTAACCTAGGAAGAAGGCCAGAATTTTAAACACTATGAGGTTGTTGAAGTGATGGAAGCCAAGGATGCACAATTTTATTGATTAATTTATATCCCACTTTTTTTTAAACCTCATTATACCACTCCCTCCTCCTACTCATGTTCAAACAACAGCACAGCAGAGCCCTGCCATCAGGAAAGGCAAAATCTATCTCTATGTGATAGGAAGAGAGAAGGCAACTGAAGCAGGCATGTTTGGCAGCTCAGAGTAGGAGCAGACCGGCCATGCAGAGGGTAAAAGAGAGACCAGGACTAGCAGGGCGCATAACAGCTGCAGCTTGGGAAGAGAAACTCACAGTGCAATTTCATTACACGGAAGGACAATACATTTTCTGGGAAATGCAGATACTTCAATTTCACCTTATTCCATTAACACTAAGGGTAGATTTTATTTTATTAAATAAGTGACATGTTATAAAACTGAAGCACTTCCAAAGTGGAAATCCTCTCTAAATTAAATATATCAAGCAAACTAGATGATCTCAAAGATGTCTTCTAATTCCAAAATCCCATAATAATGAATTCCATAGCACCTAGAAAGTCAGATACATTTTTATCTGCAGACTTGCAATATGCTTCTCTCTCTTTCTCTCTCTCTCTCTCTCTCTCTCATTTTTAAAATTTTTAATTTTGCAATCCCGGGAATGGAACCCATAACCTTACACATGCTGAGCAAGCACACAGAGCTACATTTCAGTCTTGATATATGCTATGTGAAGTATTGACTTACTTTCACATTTCCCTTCATTAATTAAGGCTAATTATCTTAATAAATAAGATATTAGAACAGAACTGCTCTGTTCTAAATAATTATGACTGCCTGTGTCCTTACTGTTCATGTATGTGTGACACATTTATATTCTTATTGATTTTTCCAACAGATGTGACTATTTGCAATTCCTACATGATTTGTATTCAGTGATTGAAAAACAAAACAATCATGAACAATTTCCCCTTTTCCAATTCTCAGTTTTTCTAATTTCTAAAAACAAAAAATTTCATGTGTGCCTACCTTGACACCTTCTTTCATACAGTAGATCTGTAGAGCGCTCACACCATCTGAGAATGGGTGGATTTGTAGATTAAAAGGAGGGGATCGCCTCTCTCTCTCCTTGAAATACAGCAAAGAATATGTGAGAATTTTTAAAATAGGGAGCAACTGATTAAACACTAAACCAGTTGTCTCTTTATGCAATTTCAGCAGTGTATCAATATGTCCATTGCCCTCCCCACACAAAAAATTAAACTCAAGGTGTTCATGCTTAAATTTAATAGAAAAAAACTGACCAGTCAACTAAGTGATATGGGAGAAAAATGGATAGATAGTGACATTCATTCTTGCAAATATTTTGATTAGAGAAATGCAGAAAGTGAAGTTCCTGTTTCAACTGTATAAATATTTAGAACTTTCAGATATCAAAGAGTAGCTTGCAAGGAAGTTTATGGTAGCAAATAGCCTTTTCAGTCCACTCAATCATTTTGAATGAGATCTGTAGGTGTAAAAGATGCCTCACTCTTCTTTCCTGAAGGATATCAACTAACTTTTTATCCAGGTCTAATTTGAAATAGCCTCAAGAAGAAATAACTGGTAAAATAATATAAAAATCATACAGTAATTTTCCTTGCAATTTTACATATTAACATATTCAACTTGACCATAAGCCAAATTTTGCATGATACAATCAAAATCTGATTTGATTTCCGTTGTATTTTAAAAAAAAAAAAACAACCCAAAGTCAAATACCTGAATTTCCCCCACTTAATCAAGTATTTCCTAAAACATGTTTCCTTGCTTCTTAGTATACTTTTGCATAAATGTTTTTATAGACTAATGTTTATTTAGCAATTCAAATTTAACTAAAGTATTTTCTCTAACATTTTGAAATATAATTCTTGAAGTGACATTTCGGAGTCAAGATTCAATGAAAGATGGACATTTTTTAAAAGCAATGAAGTAATAATGAGGTTAAAATTTATTATTTAAATTATTTTAAAATCATCAGACTTGTGTATAAAGGCATAGGTGTTTGAAAAGCACAGAATGTGAACACACAGTTCTGATTTGCCTCAAGGTTTTACCACTCACAGCTTGGGGGACTTGGAGAACTTAGTTTTAGTTGCCTTGGTGATAAGATTGAGGTCCATGTGGGAGTATGAATTTGAAATGCTTCCTTCAGCCCCTATCTAAGGTACTCAGTGGGTTTTATCATCATCATCATCACCATCATCATCATCTCCTTACTTCTAGTTCTAGGTTTCGAAACTCCAGCAGCTCATTCTGGTCTCGGGCGTCCTGTAGCTCTTGTTGTAGCCGGTGATTTTCTGCCTCTTGTTTTTCTATCTAATAAAGTAAATCTTGAAGTTAGGTGAGCATTGCAAAAAGCAACTACAATTTTGCAAAGCAAGCATGGCTAGTGTTAACTTCCTTGGTGAATCAATCATCTAGACCATGAAAAAATTCCCAAAAAGATGTGAATAAAACTAAAATCCTCCTTTTAGTTATCCTCCAGCTAAGATGTCTGAGTCATAAAGAAAAATGATGGAAGAAATCTCTGTTTCTGGGGATAAAGTCCAAGGCTCCTGTGAATAGTAAATGTGAGCTACTCATATGCTCTTGTGGGACAGACATGGTGGAGTAGAACAAAGTCAAGGATTTCTATAAGGGGTATTGACACCTCTCAATTCTGGAGATACCACTTGTCAGGGAAGTATATTATATTGTAAATGGACAATTTATAATTGTATAGATTTATAGGGTAAAAGTGATATTATAATTTGTGAATATATGTGACATAATTATGTCAAGACAGTTAATTCATCCAGAACCTAAAATACTTGACATTTTTGTGGTGATAATATTTGACATTTATGCTCTTAAGGGTTTTGAAATGTAAAATAATTTTTTAAAAACAACATTTATCTTATACAAAACTTCACTAAATTCCAATTATCTACAGAATAAGGGCAAACTCCTAATTATGAAATTCAAATACTTTAGTAATCTGTTCACCATCTAACTTTAAATCCAGTTTTAAATGTATCAGTATCATTCCTAAAAATCCTCTATATACTCACGTGACCAACCACATACACACTAGAATCTGGCAACCTCAATCTACCCAGATGAAGTGATTCTTCTAGAACTCTGTCTTTTCTTTCTGAAAAGCACTTCCCTATCTCCTTTTTTACAGACAAAACCCTACATTTCTTGGGCACCAAGCTCTAAGGTCCATAAGAACTTTCCTGGGTTGGGGGGAGTCTACCCATTTGGAAGTGACACCTCTTCTTTCTGTTTTCCTATAGGACTTTCTTACAGGACATTTATACAACATGGTGAAGCATAGAATTAAGTTAGCTGTGTACAAATGTGCCTCCTCCTGTATACAGGCTTCTTGTCTGAGTCATCTATGGATATAAGGGATCAGAAAATCTTTATGAATGACAATAGACTTTGGGCTTCCTTTGACACTAGCTGTGTGGGTGGGCATTATACACAGTATTTAAAAATCTCAGATTTAGAAATACAAACCCAGAGTCCATTTCTTTTTATCACAGAATGTATCTTACTCACCCAAATATATACTTTTAAAGTAAAATATTTACTTTTAAATTTATTCTTAGAAGCCAGAGCTCAAAACTTCTCCTTTTGGACCAAATTAAAAAAAAAATACTAAAGGAAATCAGATATAAGACATACAAAAATCATTTTTCATGATAAAAATGAAATAACACTTATTATTAGACATCTCTGAAATTAACAGGAAAGAAAAGGTGGTGAAATTATGGAATATGAATTAATGTAATCAATTCAAGTTTTTTCTTCTTCTTTTCTTGCAGTGCTGGGGATGTAAACCAGGCTTTCACGAATACCAGACAAGTGCTCCAGCACTGAGCTATATCCCATCCCTTAACTCAAGTTTTTTTTTTAACTCTAGATCTTAGTGGTTCAGTGAACTTTCAGATGTCTCTAGAAATTAACTCAGATTGTAAAGGAGATTCTACATTCTGAAATCTTGAATTGGGTCAGTAATGGGATATTTGCTGGTCCTGGTAGTTAGTGAAACAATTAGATCAGCTGTCTACAGATTTGAGTTCATGGGCTGGCACTAAGGACAACGAGGTTTCTTATAGGAACACTCAACCTTCCCAAGGGCACCAGTTCTCGATTTTGGATACCTACACACCCTCTATATCTCAGCTCTGTCTTACATCATGCAGGAAATAAGACCTTGCAGGGCTAGAGGCTGGGGGAGAGGAGACGTGCATCTGTTTCTTCCTTCCCATGCTGATCAGGGTATTGTGCTTAGTTTTTATGACTTGTCAAAGGCAGAAAATGCTGGTAGAAACAATCTACAAAATGATTTTTACATAATTCTGGACTAATCCAGTGAATTAAGTGAATTATTTTCATTACTCAAATAAGCTTTCAAATTCTGTTTCTATCAAGGATAATATAAATTTTTAAATTTTTTTTATCCTTGATTAAATTTGTAGAAGGTAAATAGTAAAGAGAAAGTTGTCTTTGAACTTAAATCATTCTCTGTTAATGTAAAATTGCCTCAAATCAAAAGCCAATGTTCGGGCAGCCAAAATGAATTACATATACTGGCTTGAAATCATGCTTTTGTATCTCACTTTGTTGACCAATTTTCCTAGATGTGCTGTTTTGCTTTAGATGCATCTTTTTAAAAAAAAAAATTCTTAAGAAAAGAAAAAAGAGCCACTCATGGTGGCACATGCCTATAATCCCAGTGGCCCAGGAGGCAGGAGAATCTCAAGTTTGCAGTCAGCCTCAGTGATTTAGCAAAAAAAAAAAAAAAAAAAAGGCGGGGGGGGGGKGGGCKGGGGAAGTAGCTCAGTGGTTGAGCACTTCTGGGTTCAATTTGAGAAAAGAAAAGAAACAAGAAACAAGAAAAAAAAAAACAATCAAGCTTAATGAAAAAGGTTAAAAGTGAGAACACAAATCTGCTGAGTTGCCTCATGGTCTTAAGAGTCATATGCTCATTTCCTTGCACAAAACAATATTTATAGTAGGAGCTGCGTTGTTTTTTTTTTTTTTTTTTGTGGGTGGACAACCACATAAGATGTGTACGTGTGTGTACATATATATATCTATGTACAGTATGTGTACAATATATATATATATATATATATATATATATATACATATATACATGGTTAACAGATCAGCGAGTTGTAGGGATCACACCCTTCAAGTCTGTAGGACGCGCAGCGTGGAGCCATGCACACGTGCCACTTAACTGATGGTGATGGTGGTGACAGGGATGCAGTTGAGCACGCAGCAGAGGATAGAGCAGCGCCGGAAAAGCCTCCCCTTCCCTGGCCCCTGTGCCACTCCTGAGAGCACCCCCTGCTGCTCCTGGATCTCTTGTCATTTTCTCCTCTGCCCCACTAGGGTGTTGCGCCCAACATACCTTTTCTAAAAGCTCCTGGTTTCTCTTAATGAAAAGTTGTTTATCTTCTACCCAGTGTGAATCCTGTTTGACAAAGAATATCGCGCAGTCAGCATTTCAGAGTGGCACGAAAGAGCACGTGTCCGCAAACCACTTGGCCAGAGCTGTCTTCTCTCTACCTGGTGCTTTTGCCTACCAACAGCTGATAAGTGACACCCACCCCTGCCAGCTCCTTCTTCAAAGACATTGGGGCCAAAGTTGCCAGGAAGATTTCACCCCCTTTCCCTCTCACTGGCTACCTCTACCTTTTTCTGTCTGAATAATCCAGGACCAGCCTTCTGGGGACTCAGAAGTGACCACACAGGCAAAAAGTGAAAAGGGTCAGAATGCACACAGGCTAGATACATATGAATGGAAACATTAAAATGCAGAACCATAGATGTAGCATAGAGGCAAAGAATGCAGCTGAGGGTCGGGTGGGTCTTAGTCTTAGCAGCTTGTGAAAACTCTAGGCTATTTGTATGGGGTTCCTCTTCCTCTGGCCTCTTCTCTCTCACCCCACCTCATTCCCAGTTGTGGCTGGTTTCACACTCTGGCCAGCAAAACACCAGGGACAGAAATACTGAGTGAACATTCTGACACAATTTGAGAAAGGTCACTGTGGAGAGCCAAGGTGTGTTCTTGGTTTGGCCCATGCGTGGGGTGAACTGGAGGAGGGTCAGATTGAATTCTGCATCTGCAGAAGAGGTAGCAACCGCATGCCTACCTGCCCTTTCTGAGCCAGCGTTGCTTCCAGATCTTCGATTTTGGCTTTATACCTCAGCACCTCTGCTTGGAGCTGCTCTTGAGCCTGGTGAAAATGAAAATTCCAGAACTCAACAAGCAAAACGGCCAGTACCCCCACCAAAGAGACCCCCTACCATATTTTAATATATATGCTTCTCCAAGGACACCCCCCCCCCATAATTAAGGTTCTCTTCTCATCAGAAAGATTTTTACACAGGATATCAGTAATAAGTTCTGCAGAGGGCATTGCTCTTTGTAGGGTTAGGGTTAGGGTTAGGGTTGCAGGAAAAAAAAAAAACCTGTCTAGCCTAAAAATATGAGACAAAGAATAACTGTTATATCCCCAACCCACTAACATGTCACCACCCCACTGAGTATAAATCTAAACGAATTTCCAGACTCAGGGTCCAGAGGTTTTTAGGTGATAGATACTCTGGACTACTGCAGCTAGATAATTCTGCTTCCTAAAAACTGCTCAGGTGTTTAGCCTCTTCTGTCCTACATCAATTTAACATTTTTCTTTCTCCCCTGTTCCTTCACTAGTTACTCAACAAGCAACAGAGATGAGAGAGAGAAAAAAAAAAGAAATCTCTAGGACAAAAGCATCTTTCTAAACTACTTCTATGATCTAAATTCTTGCTTAAAACCCTCAGTGGCTCCCTTTATCATCAGGTTAGTGTCCAAGCCCTTTAGCACGGCAATCAAAAAAAGCCCATGTTTTCCTACTCCTCCTCAGCGTGGAGTCTACCCCTTACCTGCTGGTGACATTCTTGTTTCCTAAATCCTAGTTTCTAACTTGCCACTTCTGCATTTGAATGAGTTCTGTTTCTGGAAAGCCTTGGCCCATTTTGCATGTCCACATCTACCCATTCTTACAAAGCCAACTTTGTACCTAAATCTAAATCCAAATCCTAATATTTTAACTACCCTTTCCTGTGTCAGTAACAATGCTCAGTAAATACTGGCAGTGAAAAACACAAATATTACAGTTTTGAGGCAAATGCATGATATCATACAGGTATACCCCTTTCTAATGAAGGATTGCCTGTCTGTTCCAAGCCAAAGTTTCATTAAAAAAATGCTTACTCCCTTATGTATTCAAATGTGTATAAGTATGTGTATGCTACCATTTAACATATATAATTGTAATAGCCATCTTTCCTTCTAAACAACTGACAGCAGTTGCTACAGTACTCTCCAGTATACTGGCCTGTCGTGGTAGCGCACACCTGTAACCCCAGCAGCTTGGGTGGCTGAGGAGGGAGTTCAAAGCCCTCCTCAGCAACTTAGTGAGGCCCTAAGCAACTCAGTAAGATCCTGTCTCTAAATAAAATGTGAAAAAGGAATTGACATGTGGCTCCTTGGTTAAATGCCCCTGAGTTCAATACCTGGCACCAAAAAAAAAAAAAAAAAAAATTCAGTATATTGTAGTCCCTTCAAAAACAAAATCACTGGATACAAATGCTCCCTCAGTCTATGAGGTAGGAATACTGTGATGACTATAACTTTGAAGTCAGAAGGCTAGGTTCATGTCTTTGTGACCTAAGGTAAATAATTTAACTTAAACTAGGTACATTTAACTTCTACTAAGTGATTTTTTTCATAGAGTTTTTTAGGATTACATAGATGCATGTAGAGTACTCCACACAGTGTCTGTAACACAGTCAGCACTCAATAAATGTTAAATATCAGTAGTATGTTTTAATTTTTTTTCCTTTTTTCCTTACCCCACCCCTCCCTTCCTGTCTGCCTTTCTTCCTTCCTTCAAGATGGGCTTGTACGAGGTACTTATGATATAAGAGAAAGAACATTTGACCCAGGAAGATATGAGGTGGAGGGCTGGGGTTGTGGCTCAGAGGCAGAGCACTTGCCTAGCATGTGTAAGGCACTGGGTTTGATTCTCAGCACTGCATATAAGTAAATAAATAAATAAAGGTCCATTGACAACTAAAGAGAGAGAGAGAGAGAGAGAGAGAGAGAGAGAGAGAGAGAGAGAGATGAGTGATATCCCAGCTTTGCCATTTACCAGCTGTGTGAACTTGGGCAATTAAGTTAATCTTTCTGTGTCTTAAACTCCCTTTTAATAAAATAACTGCCTTAGGGAGCTGTCACTGGAATTAAGTGAGATAGAGTCTGTGAAAATTCTCAGTGAGCTGTCCAATGAAATATTATGTAATTATTTACTAAGAAAAGAAACTAACTAGCCAAAAAGATAAAAGTTATTTTTTTTGTTTGCAAGAAATTAAAACCAATATTGTCTAGCTTTGAAAATCAAAGTTTTCAGATGGCAAGAATGAGAACTACATACTCAACAAAAGCATCAATCTAGGTTGTTTTTAATGTCTTTAGATCCAAGGTGTATTGACAAAAAAATTAAAACAGTTCAAAAGCCTTGGAGGAGAGAAGGATGCTACTGACTGACATTTTCCTGTTGCTGAGATCCATGCTGCAACCTCTCCAACCTAATTCAGAGCGCTCTGGGCAGTGGAGCACCAACCTTGGCTTCTCGCTCAGCATCGATGATGCCTCCCGTCTGCTCTTGTAGCAGGGCATATGCTCTTTGGAGGGCCTGGTATTCTTTTGTCAATTGTCGAAATCGTAGCTCAGATTCTTCAGCTGCTAAACTCTTGAGGTTAAAATACAAACAAAAACCAAAACCAGCCCCAAAGTGATTGTGTTAATTAAGGTTCTGTGTTCCAGGTAAGCAATAACTAACATTCACCCACTGTTTATTGGGAAGGAAAGTTGTTTGAGTTAACATTCTGTTTGATTTCATTTTTAATTCTCAAGTGTATATGTGGACACAAGTACTGTAATACTCTCAAGACAGACATTGCAGAAATGTGTAAGAAATGAATTTTAAAAAGAAGCATTTACTCACTTGTTCATTTCTGATTATTACCCATTTATGATTGGATATCAGACAATTTAGATCCAAATGCAAATAAGTACATGGATTTTGGATCTAAATCAAAGGAAGATGATATTCAAATTTTACTTCTTTTCAATAATTCATATCCACGACTTCTTTTGCAGATAAATTATATAAAAAAAAACTGTTTATATCTCAAGGTCCTAAACTTCAGGACTTACACAATCACTAGGGAGTTTTGTGAAAATTGAAGACTGGGGGATATTCAACCCCAGATCCCAAGTCAAGGGATGTGTGTTTGGGTCCTGGATTCTTCACTGTAATGAAACCACCTAGATTGGTCTGTTGAGGGTGGATCAGAGAGCCTTAGACTCTATACAGAAAACCCCTGAGCTTGTTCATGGGCTCACAACTTCCCTAGATGAAGGATGTTGGAGAGTAACTTTTATTTTGAAAGAAGTCTTCAACTTATAGAGCTGAATTGCAGAGCAATTTCTAGAAGTTTCACATGACACAGATGATATTACTTATTAAGAAGGAATAAGGCAAACTGTGGTCTCAGACTTGGTCACTGTTATGAGATCACTATGTGTGGGTCATAAAGGAGATGAAAAGTGATTTTTTTTCTTTCCCTTAAAGGAAAGATTTGGTGACAACATCACACAAGACTAGAGAAACAGATGAGCTTACCTCATCGAGGTCATCGTCGGGAGTAGCTGGTGTTCGGTCTGTTCTGAAGGAGGCCATGGAAGATGTCTCTGAATCCATAGAGTCCTCATCATAGCCAATGAATGGGTCCAAAACAGGCCTCTAAGCAGAGGGAAAGCATGTGTTGACTGACATAACTACACATGGGAAAGCTGGCATGTCAAAACACCATGCCGACATACATGTGGATGAGCACGGGAGACACCCTGTAATGCTTCTTTGATGAGAGAAAAATATTAGGCAGAAGCACAACAGTAGCAATGGATATTTCTCCCATGTTATTTCATTTCTGACTTATTCAAAGGGGATTCATTAATATTATAGCCTCTTTTACATTACATTTTTTATCTTGAAGAGAGAATGTAATTTACTCTTTCTAGTATTTAAAATGTGCTCACAGGACTTTGAAAATCCAGGCATCTAAATGCTAACATGATGCAATACTATAATGCCTTCTCTAACCTAATTTTACAGGTAAGAACATACAAAAAAACATTTTTCTTAGGGTCAATAAAATATTCTTTAAAAAGTTAGGCATTTATGAAGAGGATCATCAGAACTTAAGTCTGGCCATCTAATTCCATATCCAAGTCAAGTCAAATGAGGCACTTAGTAAAAACAAACACTGAAACCAAACAAATAACAAGACTTCTGTGGGCACTAAGAGGCCATCCTGATACTGGTGAATTAAGAATGTCATTATCAATAAAATTTATTGTTCAAGTGAATAATGAAAATGCACTGATAGAAGGAGCAGAAAACTCTGATATTATCCAGAGGGAGACGTCAAAGCATATCTACCTCTTGCGTGTTCTTGGATTGTAACTTTTCAACTTGTTAAACAAGCCTTTCTACATTGAACTTAGTGGCTTCTCTATTCAGAGAAAGTCCTATTAAAGCAAACACCATTATTTTCAGACTCTGAGAAATGTCAAGAGAAGAGATTTCTTTTAGCAAATAAAGCTCCTGGTTTGCTGAGTTCAGGAACATCTGATTTATCACATTTTTGCAGGAAGATTCCTTGGTAAGCTCACCTCTCTGGCTATTTGTGGCAAATGCCTGATAACCTAGTTTTCTCATTACCTTAATTGGCTTGGAACTTCTTCTATGCTTTCTCCTACGGATGAGCTTTTCTCTGTCCTGTAAAACAGATAACGGGTTTTGAGTGCTAGTTGGTATATATGTCCGTACAGGTTTCTTTTTCTTTTCTTTTCTTTTCTTTTCTTTTTTTTTTTTTTTTGCAAAAAACCGATTAGTTTTTCCCTTGAGGCCTTACATATTTTTCTTCAAAATAAGATTTTTGTTTGGAAAATTCTGGCAACTTTTGGCTTTGAGGCCTCACCATCAGGAAGTGTACTGTGTTCCTAATCAGAATCCTTGGTTTTATTTATACTTAAAAATCAAGCAGTTTTGAAAATCATTACTTATATAGCCACAAAGCACAGTCCTTCTATTTTCCCAGACCCCAGATTACTTTAGATTTGTGTTTAATATAGTAGCATTTCACAATAAAATGAACCTTTATTCTTTTATTTTCTTCATTTGTAAAGTACAGAAAGCTATCTTTTGGCTATTTTGTGGAAACTTGTTTGGATCCTAGTTCACTGGATTTATTCAGTGTTTCTGTTTTGTTTTATTTTTATTCATTTATTTTTAGGGGGAATTATTGTGTCTTTTTTTTTAATTTGTTCTTGCTATGAATGGAGATACTGAGGGAATTTGAGGATTACTTATTAAGCATTCTGTGTATTTACTGTACAAGTTTAAAGCAGATGTTCTGATCAACATGCCTAAATAGCCTAGAATGCTATATGAAACTTATAGCTTAATCCAGGATTTTTAAAGTGAGGTAAATTCCTGAACTTGTGAAAATGTGACATTTCTGAGTTATTACATTGTGAAAATGAAGTGAGGAACCCAGAGCTTCATATCACATTTGAAAAGTAATGTGTTTTAAGCAAATGGTATTTAAGCTTTTTGATTTTTTGCCTTTACAAGTTAAAACATTTTGATCTTGACACCTCACTGTAGTTGACGCTTTTTTTTTTTTTTTTTTTTTTTGGTAATGGGGATTGAACCCAGGGTTGCTTAACTAACCACTCAGCCACATCTCCAGGCTTTTTTTTTTTTAATGTTTTATTTTGAGACAGGGTCTCCCTAAGTCCTTAGGGCCTTGCTAAGTTGCTGAAGTTGGTCTCAAACTTGCCATCCTCCTGCCTTAGCCTCCTGAGTCACTGGGATTACAGGCATGCATCACTGCACCTAGCTGTAGTTGAGACTTTTGAAATGGATATGCATTACAATACTTAGATAACCCTCCTAATTAGTGTATGCATTACAGCATATAGTCAACATAGAAACTGTTTAAAGGATAAACAATAAATAATTTACAACCAAAGTCATAAGTTTCCCTCTCTTAATGACAGTGAACTATCTTGCTCAACCACTTGGCAGACTATTGCCTAACCCCCATCTCTAGTTTCTCAAGTGTGGGGCTTGGTTGGCCCTGAAGTGCAAGGAATCAAGGATATCATTCTCAGAATAAAGGCAGAGAGGCAAAGAAGAGAACTCAAAGGTTTCCAAGGTCTCAGCCCTTGTTGCAGGTAACACAAACCTCAGCTAGATGTCATCAGTAGCAGTAATTGCTCTACCTATACAGCAGGGACTGAAGCATAGTCAGAAAATTTGGACTGGAATTCCAGTTCTGTCATGTAATTATGTTGTTGTTTATTCAGAAAATAATTACTAAATGGCATCTGTGTTACACACTGATTCAGTGCTGGGTAGCAAAAGATATATGGTTCTGTATTATAAGCAAAATATTTAGTCTCAGGATTCTAATACTGGAAGACAATTGTAAGACACACACACACACACCCTGCAAACTTACATAACAATTCATTTCAAGGTTCTTTTAAAGTGCTTTGCAGCTATTATTTATGCAACCAAATTAGTTAACAAAGGATTATAAATGAAAAGATCTAAAGCAGTTTAACAATATAAAATATCTCTGGAATAGAGTCTCCTAAACCTAATTATATACTGAACATGTAAACTTGGGCCTCTGGGGTTAATCCAAAATTATTAAGTGCTTCCACTGTATGTTGATTTGTTGGCTATTTGTTATGGTTTAGATATGAGATAGCCCTCAAAAGGTCATGTATAAGACAATGCAAGAAAGTTTAGAGGTGAAATGATTAGGTTATGAGAACTTTCATATAATCAGTGCATCACTCCACTAATGTGGATTAACTGGGTGGCAAGTATAAATAGTTGGGGAGTGGCTGGATGAAGTGGGTCACTGGGCGCATGTCTTTGGGGTTTATATTTTGTCCCTGATGAGTGGAGCTCTCTCTGCTTCCTGATTGCCAAGACCTGAGCTGCTTTCATCCTCCACGTCCCTCTGCCATGATGTTCTGCCTCACCTTGGGTCAAGAGCAATGCAGTCTGTGGACTGAGACCTCTGAATCGGCGAGCCAAATAAACTTTTCCTCCTCTAATTGTTCTTGTCAGGTTTTTTTCATCACAGTGATAAAAAGCTGACTAACACACTACTTGTCCTTGGGATCAGTGTAGAGTTTACAGATTGATCCTGAACCTACCCTTGTGAGCTCATCAATAATGTTCTGCTGTTCAATAACCTGAAGTTTTAGAAACTCTGTCTCTTGTTCTTCGTTAGCTTGGTCGAGGTCATTCAGAGATTTTAATTTCTTCAAAGGTGGGTGCGATGTTATTTTTTCTCTCTGGATTTGAAAAGAAGAGAGTACAGGTGGAAACTTTAAAAAAATGCCAAAGTTCAGTCATTACTATAAAACACSGGCAGAAAGTTTATGAGGCTCCAGCTAAACATTTTCCAGTTAGAATGTGTGTTTCTACACACACCAACTAAAAACCCCACGTGTGTTTTATCTGTGATACTATGTTGAAGTCATTGGGGGATTTTCTGGAGACCTCTATAGCTGTGTTGGAAATCTGTTAAGAAGTGCATTAGCATATCACCTGTCCATACCTAATGCCAGTGACGGTTTCTATTTTCCAACTACTATGCCAGTTCTTAGAGGTGTCCCTCTGTCTAGTTCTGAAAAGGGTACATTGGAAGAAGGTCTCTATGGCTGAGGAAACACACTGAAGCTTTGCTTTTGGAAAGTGTGCAGACTCCTGGAAGCACTCCTCCAGTTCTGTAAATTTAGAAACCCCATAAAATTCTGAGGCAGCAGGCTTCCCTTGCTTTCCTCCTTAAAGCTTCCTCGCTTACATAAGGAAAAACCCAAATAGCATGATACTTCAAAAATAAGCAGAAAGAAAACAGTAAGTCAGGCTATTACAAAGAAGGAAGGAATATAGGGAAGGAAACTTGAGTTCTGCCGAGCCTGCAGTACGCACCATTTCTGAATTTTCCTTGGTGACGGCTTTTAGTTTCTCCTCCATGCGTTGCAAAGACACCATCAGCTCATCATTTCTCTTGGCGAGGCACTTGTTCCTTTCCAGGAGAGGTTTACATTGCTTTTCTGTTTCCCGCACACGTTTTAACTAGGAAGGAACATCAGAATTTGTCTAGGTTTGGAGAGGGGAGTCAATTGATGGGAGAGAAAGTACCTTCAGAGTGAGTCCCTTTGTCTGCTTCACTGACATTCCAATCCTCCATTTAACAGATCCGCTTCTTTGTTTCCAGATTCCTCTACTGCTTTTCATCACTTTCTTTAAAGCCCTGTATCTCTATTACCCTAATGGCTGCAGAGATACTGCTTTTGGAAACACTCAAGAGTAAGAGCTCCCTTTAGCTGTTCCTGCCTGTTTACCCCATTATGCTCAGCCCCCTTCCCTGGAACTGGGATGGCCTCTCATTGTCTCACAGTGACAAAGCAGCTCATCCAGGTCACAGGGCCACCAAGTAATGCAAGCACGTCCTGAATCCAAGCTTGCTTGTCTCCAAAAGTTCATCCATTTCCTCAGAGATTTTGCTGAGATCTCTTGATTCGTACTAAAGCTATTTATTTTTAAAGAAGAGACATATTGAACAAAAACGGTATTGATGTTTGTGTTAAGAGTACAATTTTCACCAAGTCTTGGCAAAGTATGATTTTATTGTTATCCATGCATAACCAAAAGTGACTCTCATTTTCCCAGTTCTAAGGCAGGGGGTTTTCTACCTCAGCACCTTTGACATTGTTGGAGAAAGGTTTTTGTTGTAGAAGTTGTTCTGTGTTCTATGCTATGCTTAGCAGCATTTCTTGCTCTCTGCCCATTAGATGTCAGTAAACCCTGCCATTTGTGACAACCGAATGTAAATGCTGCTCAAACTGCTTCTGTAATTTAGAACCACTGACCTAAACTTTTGAGTGTTGTCTTGAGGTAAATGTAAATGGTCCCCATTTTACTCTCAAAACTCTCCTGTTTGGAGATGTATTTTATGACCAGTCTACTTATATATTATGGGTTTCCATGTTAAGTTTCCCATGATCAGTATATTCTTTTCATAGTAGTGATTCTGAACATGAAAAGTTATTAGGGAAGGAGTGACCAACACAAGGAAAGGGAAGGGTTATCAGAAACATCTAAGAAGATTTTTTAAAGTTACTCCTGCCATTGAGAGTCTGTGGTTTTGGGAGGTGCTGAGGTAGGGGACTTGGCTATCTATGAATATTTGAAAATGTTGCCTTGGAGATTCTTAAACAGCACCTTTCCTACTTCATTCTAATCTCCATTTGAAAACTTCCATTTTATAAGGAAGTCCAGATATGTATTGATTTCCATAAATAACCTGACATAATTCTCAGTTCTTGAGCTTCAGTGCCTGAATCATTAGTACTAAATATTAAAAACACATACGGACAAATAAATTCTTCTATTAGGTGCATTATTTTGATCTTGATCTCTTTTCTGGAGGCCAATGACATGAGTTTTAAATATCTAAGTTTACTTACTTTTACTATTCACAGAAAACATAGATAAGCACAAAGAGAGAGAAATCTCTATAATTCTAACAAAACATAGACCAATAATCAGTTCTGTGGTGCCCCCACAAAATGTTCCTTTTAAAAAAATATATCTTAAATGTAACAACAAAAGATTGAAAGTAAAGTATACACATATGTGTTTGTGTATATATTTATGTATCTACACTTATAGATTCATGCAAACACTAAAAGAAAAAATGTGATTCAGTTAAATTAACAATAGATTTTAAGTCAAGTCCTAGAGAAAAGAAAGTATTTCATAACGATAAAAGGGTAGTACGCCAAAACATGCAATGAATTCTAATTTATATGCATCTAGTAATATAACTTCAGATATATGTAAAGCAAATTGATAGAGTGAAGCAGATAGATAAAACTTTTGGGAAATCAGGCAGGCAAAAATATCAGCAAGGCTACCAAAAATTTTAAATAGACTTAACAAACTTGAATCAAACTATAACTAATAATTATAGAGTATATCTTCTTTGCATGTGAACATGAAACATTTCTAAAATTGACCATATGCTCAGTCCACAAAGCCAATCTCTACAAATTCCAAAAGAAGCCTTCCAAGGGAGAAATCTATAATCAAAGGATAACTAAAAGATCTCCAAATTTTGGGAAATTAAGCCGTATACTTCTAGTAGCCATGGAGCAAAGAAGAAATCACACGTGACTAGAAAAGATTTTGAGTAAAATAGCAGTGCATTACGACACTTCAACACTTGGGAGATGAGGCTAAAAATCAGACTTGGAAGAACAATTATAGCCTAAAATGCATGTATTTTTTAAAACATGAAAGGCTGAAAATAACTCCTCTATATGAACAACTCCATTAAAAATGTAAATAGTAAGCCACAGAGCAGGATATTTTAAATGCAATATCCCACAAATGATGTTTTCTCATCATTTTAGCCTTAATATTAATAAGAAAATTAAGGCAGTACAATAGAAACTGAGCAAAAGGCTAAGGGCAAAACCTGGAGGGAACCCAAAAGACTGGGAGATGTTTGCAAGGTTACCCAACCTCATTGATAATGATAAAACTAAAAATTAAAATAAAAATACAGATACATCTCATGGGCACTGAAATGGCTAAAATTAACAATTATCTTTGCATTTTTGCACGTATGTGGAGAAACTGCAACTCCCATACATTGTGGATGGAGATGTAAAGAGTTAAAAGAACTTTAGGAAACTGCAATTACCGCTGAGGCTGCCTATATGCTACTCTAGGATACTCTAGTAGTAATGGACACGTTTTTCACCATGTAGCAGCACCATTCTTAACAGCTTAAAAGTATTGTGGAACAAGGCAAAAATAGCCCTTAACCATAGAATGAATAAGTATCTTATGATATTTTAATTGAATCGTATAGTGTAAAGAAAGTGTCCTCCGTAGCAATGATGAATCTCACAAACATAAAGCTGAGCAAAAGAAGTTAGACACAAAGAGTAAAAATTGTATGATTCCTTTTACAAAAATAAATAAATAAATAAATAAATGGTGATGTCTATGGGAATAGAAGGCAAAAACGGTGGTCATCTTTAGAAGGATGACAAATGGGAGGGGTCCCAAGAAAGAGAGGATTTGAGAGCTGGTAATCTACTCATTCATCTTGGTGGTGGTTAGGTAGATTGGGTGTGCCACTTTGCAAGTATTTATTGAACTGTACCTTTGTTATATGCTCACTTTTTTATTATGTTACATTGCTAAAACATAATACCTATTTCCAAGATATAGGGCTTAACCCAGTATACTCACCAATTCATTTCGTTCATCTCCAAGCAAAGTGTTCCTATCTTCTAATTTTCTTATAGTGGCGTTTAACTCTGCTATTCTCTTTTGATTTCTTCGCAAATCCTACACATGAAAATTAAAATGGGTATTTCATCTTTAATACTTTTCACAAAGTTTTGGAATGCATTTATTAAAGTAATAGGCTGACTTCTCCTTATCTACTTTATGATAAGGAGACATCAAAATTTCTCTTGTTCAGAGAAGAGTAAATATTTACCCTTTTCTAACTCCCAGTATTCACCACTTGGGTTGAAGATCAAGCTAGGTGGAAATGGTAAATGAATTCTACATGGCAGATACTCAGGGGTCCAGAATCAAGGCAGGGGCAATGGCAGAGTTTTGGATCAATGTATCTGAGCTCTGTGCTGTGAGACCAAGGTCATGTGGTGATTACATGAGGTTCAAGGAGCATCCCTCATGTCATGGCTGCACATTGCTTTCTACTACGAATTAGACAGCCGTCCTGCTCTTACACTTCGCCACAGAGAGGACAGATTAGGAGGTAGGTATGGGCTTTATAAATTCCTTCATACTCCTGGAGAAAAAGATCAGACTGAAGAAAGGTACCTTTCCTTTAGGTACAAAAGGCAGTAGTTTATAGGGTAGTCTACACTAAAATATTTTGTCCAGTGTGACTGGCTTTCCCATGGGAAGAATTGCTATGAATCACCTTACACAGCAGTCATGACTTAATTCTGTACTAGAGCCCATAGGCTGTCATTATCATTATTATAAGCTGGCAATTCTAATATCATTTAGGAGTGCTGTTGACAGAACAGTTTCACAACCATTATACCCCTAGATTTACAATATCCTAGGGGATTCAGCAGGCCAGGTAAACTTCATGGAAGCATAACTTGTTCAAGGTCTTATGGCTTATGTCTGCAGATTAATAGCAAATTTGTATTGGATGTTAGCTGCATGCCAGATACTGTGTTCAACATTTCATACACCATTTCTTCTGATCCTTTGAACTGCCTTGTGGGATACCAGTATAGCCTCTACTTTACCAATGAGGAGATTCTGTACAGTGAAGTGGTTTGCCTAAGGTTATTCTGTTAATGTCAGATCCAGAATTTGAACCAAGGAGTCTGATTCTAGGGCTCATTTTCTGACAATTATGCTACAGTGTAGGTAAGTGTCAGTGATAGAACTAAAACATACATCTGCTACATCCTAGATGGGTATGCTTTCTACCACCTACTAAGCTATATATATCCTGAAAACCAATTCATTAATTATTCATTACTTTGTTCTAAGTAGTACTTGGGAACTCATCTCTATTCCTAAATAATACATTTTCATCTTTTTAGCAGCTAAATAATTTGAAAGGTAATAGCCAACTACATACAAGCTGACTTCTCTTGCCGTACTTCCAAAAATAATTTCTTATATAAAATGATGAAAATCCAGGTAAATAAATGGCAAGTTCAATCATACTAGAAGCTTTCACACAATGATTATAAATGGTTTAGTCTTTTTACAGATATGTGTTGACCTTTGTAGATTATAACTCTCTTTACCAATTTCTAACCCAATCGTTCACACAAGGGAAAATTACCAGTCTTGGCAAGAGGCAAAATATTTTCATTTAATTTATGATTCTTATAATCGACTTAAGTTTGCACAGGCATTGTTTGGCTAGAAGCAGTCTATGAAGAGATCTATAATTCTCATGTGATCTGCTAATGCAGTGCAGACCACTTTGTTGTCTATGAATTTAGAAAACCTTGTTCCCAAGATATTAGCTGGTATTATAGTAGGAGATCAAATTGATTTCTGGGCAGTAAACAGGAAAAGAGCTTAAGTGAAAGGTAAAACTTGGGGGCTAAATAAAAGATGACTCCTGAGTTCCCAACCCCAACTTGAGTGGACTTACAGGACTGCTGCAGTGTTCGGAGCCATCTCCTGCCCTTCCTGGGATTTCCCGTTTGGGACTGCTCATGTTGCACTCAGCTTCCTTAACCAGAAAGAGCTGTTCATCCAAGGCCTCCTTCTGCAGTTGGAGTTTCTGTACATAGCCTGTCTGGGTCTCCAGTTCCTTTTCCAGAGAAAAGATGATCCTGTCCTTGGCTTTGATTTCATCCATCTGAATGAAATGAGACCCAGGACATTTTAACAATGCTGTAAAGAAATGCATTTTTCAATGGTAGGAGTTTAACTTATTTCTTCTGATTGATTCAGGGGGAAAAATGAATATGACAAGTGTATTGAGCACATGAATATGATGGGTCAACAATGTGTAATAAAGGGTCATCCTAGTTTAATTAGGTGGCAAGGAGAGCAGTTTTTCTTTTCTAGTATATTCTGCACAGATGTTCTCATTCAATGTATTGTTTGAAATGGTCTGGGTTGGTTAGATATGGAAAAGAAAGGCTAACTTGAAAATGGGTCATTTGTGTTAATAAAGACAAATACTGAATATTTTACTACAGTGTTTCCCAGGCAATTTTTCTGTTGCCTTCTCTTCAGGGGAATGCACATTTGAGTTCAATCCAAATAGCAAATATCAGCTGGTCATTTATAACTGCAGACTTCTCAGTGGCCTAATGATCTTTCAAGACTAAGATGTTTGCACTTGGTTGGCCACTTTGAAGGAGGGTCCTCTCAATGGTTCATGTTATATGGTTCTTTCCAATTCCCACCCATATTTCAGAGCAGGCTGTACTTGGCAAACATTTTGCCATTATTGTCAGAAAATCATGGTTGGGACTAGAATTGGGATGGGAAATACCTGCTAATAGTCACTATTTCTCCTCCTGCATCTGTGGGACATATTTATTGATCTCAATACTCATTTGTGCTAGGCTTGGGTATGGCCTCAGAAGTATTTCTTAACTAAAGGGCACACACATTCAATAACAATTGACCAGACTTCCATTGGACTGAAATCTTTTTACTATCCCTGGATGAGAGCTAATGAAATAAGTGTTGGCCAACAGTTTTTGAAGAGACAATAGCTATTGGTGAAAACTTTCTCTCTGTTTTATTACATTATATGTAAATATTTGAAATATAACTGGGAAAAGATTTAAACATCATTCTGTTTTTCTCTTCCTAAAATGTCACCTTATATTTAACAAATCACTTTCTTTGTATGCTCTTTAGACCAGAGGAAAAAAAAGAAAAGCATTTGGGATAGATATTGTTAAACATAGTAAAGTCTTTTCCACACAGAAATGCCAGTAAACTATTGCTTCTAAGTCACACGTTTGAGGTCTATTTTGGGAGGATGGGGGGCTAAGGTATGTAGGATCTACAACATCATCTGATAACATGGTAAGTAATCAGGTACTGCTCTGATAAAAAAAGAAAATATTAGCTTTTATTGTCTTGCACCGGACTCTCGGCCCCAGTTTTATTTTTAACTCAAGCAGTCATTCGTCAAGGTCACCACGGGTAATGTTCTTCATGGTTAAAACACAGCTGCAGATGGGTGTCTTCTGAATTCCGACACACTCTGCCTAACCCAGCTTGCTGGGGGAATCATCCCATCAGTGCCCAAATAGTCACTACCATCATCGCAGCTGAGATTTACTGATCTTTTACCATATTTGAAGCACAATAGTCAAAACATTATAATCCTACCCAGTGGGTTTTGTTATTACCCCTTTACAGGTGATGGATTGAGAACCTGAAAGGTGAAATCTTGGTTATAGGCAGCTAGCTAGGAAGTAGGGAAGCATGGTTTTCAATTCAGTCTTCTGATTCTAGAGCCCATTCTGTCGGGCCCTAGACTCTATGGCTGCAAGACTGGCCAAATTCTCAAAGTGGTTCTCCATAGCTGGCACTGAGGAGGCTCTCCATTACTGTGGTGGTGGGAATGGGCTCTGATCTCCAAATACTGAAAATAAAGCCAAGCTCTAGCTCTCAGATAAAAAGGGGTATGCACCAAATTCTTAGATAAGTTTTTCTAGACAGAACAGCTTCCATTTCTGGCCCTTCCAGTTCCAAAAAGGGAGCTGGGTGTGGGTAGGGATAGGTAAGAAGAAGGAAGAAATGAAGACGAATGCATGTGTATTATTAAAGGTTTCCTTTGGTATTTTGTTTGCACTCAGTTTTTGGACCACTCTTCAGGTGATCTAAATTTTACATTGTTATTAAGGGGGATTTCATGTCTACTTCAGCAGTACCTTAGTAAGGAAGCCATGGAAGAAATTTATGGCCAGGCACAGGGGCACACACCTGTAATCCCAGCTACTTGGGAGGATGAGATAAGAGGATCTCAAATTCAAGTCCAGCCCAGGCAACTAAGCAAGACCCCATCTCAAAAATAAAAAATAAGAAAGGGCTGTGGATGTAGCTGTGGATGTAAGAATCTATCACCACACTGATTCTTAGTATCACCATAAATTAAATAAATAAACAGATAAATAAATAATCACAGATAAACAAACACATGTACTTGTACATTTTACATTGAAACCCATTAACAAAAATATTTACTGCAGAGCTTTCTTTTTCATTTACCTATGTGCCAACTCCAGCTTTCACAGTTTTGATTCTTTATTCATCAGCCATTGTCACTTGCAAAACCAAAGACAGGGCAGGGACCAATATTTCTGCACTGTGTTTGGTTTTTATTGTCAAACCATCKCGTAGAATGAATTGCAGATATAAAGATTCAGAAGGTGTGGCAACAGGAATAGTTTACAGTCATACTATATTACATTACAAAGAAAATCACACATTTAGCTATTTAAAAATGTTCTATGGTAACCACTATTACCTTAAAATTTAAATACTAGGTATATCCAAAGAACATAATTAGAATTCTTAGAAAACAATTGCTTAGAATTGGCAGACGCAGGAAGGAAAATATAGGTTTTTTTTATTCTAAGAAAATACTATTTTTAGAGAAGCATAAAGTACATTCTAATAGGTGATAGTTAATTTAATAAGATTAACTAAGATACAACTAATACTAAACATCTAAGTGTAGATGAACATAAATGCTGTTTCTAAAATAACTAAAATGGCCAATGTAGGGCATTTTAGCTTTTAGATGTTGGTTACATTTGTATTTTTTTTTTAAATTTATTTATTTATTTATAGTGAAAGATCTATGTGCTTTTGGGTTATACAAGGTAAAAGGAAAGATCCAAACTGCAGGGGCTGAGATAAATCTTGAATATTGCAAATAGCCAACCAGCTACTTAGGAATAACATCCAATTAAGAAATTATAATGACTCTTATTTTGAATGACCCCTGTTTATTTTGAGAAAAGATCAATTTTCAAAATGATTAAAGCTTTTATAGCTCTGTCTCTTGCTTTCAGAGATGGTTCATGGAAAAAAAAAGATTGGTGAATCACTTAGGATGTTCTCAGTGGCTACCATTTGCAGACATCTTGAAAAATTACAGAACCATCTCCTGTGCCCTGTAAAAATTCCAATGAGGTTTTATAAATGCAAAGTCCATAAAAACATTGGAAGAGTTCATAATTTAGAATATTTTTACAGATGTCAATCAAAGAAAGCCATGGTCATGGAACAGATACTCTCTAAAAATGTAGGACTAGGAAGAGCCAATTAATAAGAGAAGGGTGATTCCAAATTCTCTTATGTTTTATAATTTCTTTTGGGCCTGGGCACATCCATCTGTTTATCTCGCTCCCTGAATACCTGTTGACCTATCTTGCATTTTGAATAGCGCACTGGACAATAATTAGGCATTGTATACCATCCACTGACCAGGAAACACCTGAAAAAGCAAGTCCCACGGAGCTCTGAGCCTAGAAAGAGAAGGTTTCTGCACCGCATGGTCTGATGGGATTACTAACCAGCCTCCGAATATCCCGCTCCGACTCCCACTTGATCTTGGAGATGGCTTCTTGGTGGGACTGATGCTCACTCCTGAGGTCCCCAGCCTTGATTTTATCCGCTTGGATCATATTGCTCAGAGCCTCGTCCACCTGCTTCTTGGCCGTTTTCAGGTCCGCAATTTCCTGTAAGAGCTTAAGGCGCTCTGCATCAAACAGTTTCCGGGCCTCCTCCCGGGCCTCAATGGTGAGCGCTGTCCTTACTTTGTCGCTGCTGCCATCCCGGAGAGCACACAGAGCCGACTTGAGCCTCTGGATCTCTCCATCCCGCACCTTCACTGTCCTTGACATTTCTTGCTCGTGTTGCTTGATGAGATTCTCCCTCACGGCCTGCAGCTCCTTCATCTTCTCCTCATGGAGCTTGGCTTTGAGTTCTGTTACCAGGACTGTGTGCTTGCGCTGCTCCAGCTCACGAATCCTCTTTGCTTCTTGGGTCTTCTCTCTTTCAAGCTTTGATACCTAAAGGCAGAGAGGCAAAACGATGAAAAGCAATAAGCCTCAAAGAAAAGGTGTGCTCCCAGGCAGGATTTATAGTTTATGCCGCTGTGATCACTTAATTCCTCATCTCTTTTCATATTCCAGGCCACCATGGGCTTAGAGGGGAGGGAATCAGGAGCCTTAGAGCTAGGAATGCAGTGTGTAGAAGGAGGAAATACCCAAGAGGGTTTTGGGGACTTTGTTCAGACAAATATTTGAAGTTCTGCAGCCCCCACTATCCAACGTGTCACCTGCAGACAAGAAGGAAGCTATTATCCAGAAGCTGGCAGGAAACACAGAATCCTGGGCTCCATCCTAGACCTATGAATTAGAATGTGCAGTTTAATAAATTCTCAGGCAATTGGAATATACATTAAAATTAGGAAGTATTGCTCTAATGGGGTTCCCCTGAAAGGAGAAGAGTTTAATACAGAGCAGCTGGAGACCTTTTTAGACTCTACAACCCTCCTTGGATCCAAACTGGCATCTCCAGTTAGCTCATAGATTGATATTGTGATTAGGCTAATACATTGGTGACTAAGATGATATTATAAAATGTTCTCTTTCCTCCTTTTTGGGTGGAACAGAATATGCTACTGCTAACGGAGAAGGTGAAAAATAGTTGATAATGGCCTTAACCTTACCTGTCTTAGTTCAGCGACCTAGCTCCTTTCCTAAGCTCTGTGCACATGCACATATGGAAACACAAGCCAACCAACAAACTAACAAAATGAAAACACTGCAGTTTGTAGAGTCCTCTCTCTGTCTCAGCATTCAGGCACACTACATCCACTTGTGGAGAAGGATGTCTCTTTACATCCTTCTCCACAATTAGTCGAAACCCTGTCCTGTGCTGTCCCCAAATCAACAGACCAGGTAGCTTGAAATATCCTTCAAACCATCTTGCCTCCTAAGAATTCTGGCTAAGATAATGTTCTGTGTTTTGTTACATTTCCAGTAATGATGGAGGACTCCTAGTAGATGAGCAATGGCACTCGCTGCCTTAATTTGGCTGAGTAAGTCTCTGATTGAGGACATCAGGATGGGGCTTGGCATTAGTAGCTAGAAAAAGCCTCTCAGTGACCCTGTTTTGTGTCCTCTTTCCCTGACTTCATCTCTGCAGCCTGCCTCTGTCTTCTCCATCTCTATCACCACACGCACACACCACCCACCCACACACACACTTAGAATAACTTGGAAGAGAAGAAAATCCCAGGAGTATTACCTAGCTGAGTGATACTGAGTCTCTGCCATTTGTCAAACTGTAAGATCTCACAAAATATTGGAAGCCTTTCTGACTATAATATTTTTTTAAGATTCAAAGTCTATTTAAATCATGGTAATTATTAAGTATCTGAGATTTTACTTACCTCAATAGCTTACCTACCTTTATCTATAAGAGTATATTCTAGGTCCACATAGCATTTTATGAATATTTCATTTTTAAAGGCACAGTGATTATTCTCAGGATGGTTATTCTAAAAGAGCTTGGAACCCAAGGGGACTTAACTCACCTTCATCCTACTCTGCTCCAGCTCAGGTCTAAGGCCCCTTCCTAGATGCCTGTTCTCTTGAATGCTCTATAGCTGGTTGTCCAGGGTGGTGGCCATTAGATGCACTGAGCACTTGGAATGCTGCAAGTTTGAGTTGAGATTTGCTCTGATATGCTCAGGATTTTGAAGACTTATGGTAAGGTAAGGAATGTGAAATTTCTTGTTAATCATTTTTATAGTAATTATAAGTTAAAAATGCAAGATTTCAAATAGAGTGAATGGAAGAACATATCTTCCAGATGAGGATGGGCCAAATAATAGCCATGGTCCAATCCATCCTGCTTCCTGCTTTTATGAATAAAGTTTTATTGGAATACAGCATGTCCATACATTTACATATTGCTTAAGGCTGCTTTTATTGTACAGTTTAGTTGAGCAATTTTACAGATACTCTGTGTCTAAACTCTAAAATATTTACTACGTTTCCCCTTACAGGAAAATTTTGCTGATTCCTATTCTAGAAAACACATCTTTATAGAGAAAGGGCCTTGTTTTTAATAGACACAGAAACTCAGTTTTTCTTCCATATAAGACATTGGAAAGATACTTTAGCTCAAGTGATGAAAACTTAGTTCTCTCCAATTTCAGCAGGATGTATTTATGTTAGGCGTTTGGCACAGTGTCACAACCACAAGAGCTATCAGGTAATAAGTTACAATGGGAAGTTCTAACAATTCTTCCTAGAACAATGAAAAACTGTAGTAAAAATGGAAAAAGGATAAGAAATTCTGGATCTACATTTCCCTTTTACCATCTGCTATCTCTAAGAAACTTACTTGGAAAATTCCTGAAATGGTTGTTTCTAGTGTTAAATTTGAAAACACATGGGAAAAAAAACTTGTCCTGTAAAGTACTATGATATATAAGGTAATATTATCATTAGCTGTGATAGAAGACACCCCATCTAAAGTTATTTATAATTTAATTATAAATAAATATAATTAATTATTATTAATTCTCTTCAGGTATATGAGATAGTGTCTCCCTGTGATTTTGTCATTTCTTTCAAATTATAAACACTAACCTTTTATTTGTGTAGCTAGGAGGTGAGATGAACAAAAAGAAAAATGTGAAAATACAGATGCGGGGAAAATACATTCCAACCTGAAGTCAAAACCAAATATAAAAAAAAGCACTGCCCTTCCTGCCTATCAATTAAAATAATCCATAAAATCAAAGAAAGTTCAAAGGAATACAGTAACATTTAACATTTTTTTATGTCCACTTATTTTAGTTGTCAGGGAACCAGCCCTTGGCCAAGCTGTTTCACCTGTCAGCCTCAGTTTCTCATCTGTAAATTAATGTTGGTGATATCATTCTCAGGTGGTTGTGGTGGGGACTGAGTTAAACAATATATCAAAAATCCTTTGGAAAGCCTGCAGCATATAGGAGATGCATTACCATTGATATATGGTAAATACTATAGTGCTAATTTCGATAAATACTATTGCATATAATAATATACTATCATACAATGTTATATTAATAATGCCAACAAAAAATAAGGACCTATATTATTGTGATAAGACTGACATTACTATATAATGTTATTAAGACCATAAATGTTTTCCGAAAAGAAAGAGAAGTTCACGGGTGAAACTGGGTTTCCTCTGTACTGAGTTTGCTGGCACTGGTGGTATGGAATCTTAGCTTGGAAGACACCTGGAAGAGGTGTAGGCACAAGTAGTGGGGTGGAGGTGGACCAGGGCAAGGTGGGAGGGAGCTGTGAACAGGTCATTGAAGGATGAGTTTTCACATCCCTTCCACCCTGGAGTCCTATGGGGAAAAATGATCATTAGGAAACATTAATCCTACTAGGGAAAGGTTAAACGATGACAGAAGGAAGAGAATTCATGGCTACCTTACACAGGCTCCACGTTGTATTTTTATCTTCTGTCCTCATTCTAGTCTGGCCTTTGAAAAACGCCGTTGTAAATTCTGCTGAGGTAAAGATGGTGATGGTGTGAACTTCAATGTGATCATAGAACTAGGATGAACAGCTGGATCCCAGTCAAAGGGAAGGGAAGGGCCAAGAGGTTATCAAAGCAGAACAAGCTTACAGAGGCTTCCACTTGGGTTATCTGCATTGGATGTTCCTGGAATGCTAAACTCTCAGTAAGCTGGTGAGGATTCGCTTTCTTTTTCTTTTTTTCCTCATTCCTTTTATTTTTTTAAACTTATTGGTGCATTATATTTATACATAACTGTGGTATTCATTGTGTATGTAACATAATTAATACATGCATATAAAACACACTTTGATCAATCTCATCCCCTAGTACCTTGCCTTTTCTTTCCCTCCTCCCTCTCCTGATCCAGTTGGTTCTACTCTACTGATCTCTCTTTTATTATTATTAGTACTATTATTATTATTATTATTTTGTTAGTGATTATAATTATATATGTGTATGTGTGTGCATATATGTATGTATGTGTGTGTATTATACTTCCCCATGCCTGCTCCTCCTTCCCTCTCCATCTGCTTCCTCCACTCTATTGGTCTCCCTTCTATTTTCATAAGATCCCCCTTCCCCCCAGCCCTAACTTTCACATAAGAGAAAACATTTGTCTCTTGATGTTGAGTTGAGCTTGTTTTACATAGCATGATAATCTCCAGTTTCATTTGTTTACCAGCAAATGACATGATATCATTCTTTGTGGCTGATAAAACTTCATTGTGTGTATACACCACATTTTCCTTATCTATTCATCTCTTGATGGGCACCTAGGCTGGTTCCATAACTTGGCTAAATGAACTGTGTTGCTATAAACATTGGTATGCATGCATCACTATAGTGTGCTGGTTTTAGTTCCTTTGGATAAATACCAAGGAGTGGGATAGCTGGGTCTTATGATGATTCCATTCCTAGTCTTTTGAGGACTCTCTGTGCTGTTTTCCAAAGTGGTTGCGCTAATTTGCAGTCACACCAACAATGTGTAAGTGTACCTTTTCCCCATATCCTCACTGGTGGGAATTTTCACGTGTGCCTTGTAACTTTCCATCTGGAGATGTGGAGAAGGGAAAGCTACCACTACAGGAAGTTTGCTTATAAGAAGCTTTACAACTTGAGGAAGTACAAAGGATTAATATTTTTTAATTTCTTGCTTTGAGTTATCTTGAAAACAGTGGTAAAGGTGCAGATTGAAATAAATATCCAACCCCCAATTTGAGCCTTGAACCTGAAGGGTCTGAGCACTTGAGGAGAGAGAAATCTTTCTGAGAGTGCCCTGGGGACAATGGCACACAGTGGAGTTAGATGCTCAGCATTCCCCAGATCTCTTTTGCTTACAGAAGGGAATTCCCATTTTAGCTTCTCAGTTGCTGTGTCACTGGGAGTGAATGAGTTAAACAATTTGAAACTGGTTTTCTTCCTCAGTGAAATCAGAATATTAGTCACGCCCTGCCATTGTCCCAGGCTTGCTCTGAGGAGGTGAAAGCTCTTTGCAGTCTGAAGGGCTATTCAGGTGCAGACTACTCATTCCTGTCTGGAGCCAATTCCTCCCAGACCCTGCCACCTGGTCTGCTGTTCTGCTGCCTCTACCCCTTGAATCCTTTTCTCTGCTTCTGCCCCTTCATCCCCCTGTCACGTGCTCACACTGCTCACTACAATTGTATTGTCTTAGAAGAAGAGGACAAGCCACAGGGAGTCTAGTGGATGAACTTCTTATCTCACTGCCATCCCTGGTGTGTTCATGCACAATGAACATCGGACCCAGCCTCACGGTATCCAGAGAAAAGACAGAGGAAAATATTATAGCTTACTGGCTCAGGGAAAAGATGGACCTTGGTGGAAATCCTTACCCCACCCAAGCCTGAGGCTTCCCACCTAAATAAGCATTATAACAGTGCTTTTGCGACAGAGTTGTCCGGAAACCATTTAGGAAGGCTCAAGTGAGTTTACTCAGCAAGTAGTTTGGAGCACCTCCTACCTGCCAGGCAGTTTCTTTATCTGTAAAATTCAGATAGCAACAATGCCCACCTCAAGGCAGGTAATGAGGGTCAAATGAGACAGATGCATGAACACCTTTAATACACTTGACACAAACTGCATCACACACACACACACACACACATATCCTATGAAGCAGATGCCACCATTGTCTCATATGACTGAAGAGGAAAACACAGAGGGCTCTATGACCTACTCAGAGTCACTGAGGTGCTCAGGATAAGAGCTGGGGTCATGGCAGGCTGGAGTGGGTGTGTTAGGTGTGTGATGGATAGAAACATTCAATACATTGTAGCTATTTACATTATCAGTATTTATGACTCTGTTCTGTGCATGATAGATGTTTTGTAAATGTCAAAGTGATTATATATCTTGCTGGAAAGATGAGTAATGGCCCATCACCCCAAAGCTTTCCACTCTTTAACTACTCTATTCCCAATAGTTGCAGTATCATTTTATCATCAGCACCTCAGAGCCAAACCAAGGGTGTAAATTCACAGCTTGCTATTGTTCATGTTCTTTCTGCTACAGCCTGGTTCTTTGAAAACACAATCATATTTATTTATAATAAAACTGCTTTATGACTTGTTTGCCCTCTAGATTCCCTGTGCTCTTTGGGGAAGGCTGCTGACGGGTGGGTGGTGAGACTTTGTGCTGGGTTGTAATTAGCTGCCTCAGACAGGGAGAAAGGCAGGGGCAGCCAGGAGAGGGAAAGATAAGGCTGTGTTTTTATTCGAGATTCTGCTGCTAGTGTCCTGTCAGTGTCTGCAGAGGAAGGGGAGATGACACCTGTGCCCATTCCCAGAGGGACAGGCAACCTCATTCAAGCTCGAATGTATAGGAAAATGGTAATGGTGGTTTCCTTGGGGCCTCTGTTTCTTGGGAATCTATAGAGCTTTTCTGACAAGCAGGGACAATTTATGGTTACCAGTCTTCATACCAATGAGCCTCTTCCTACAAAGATCATTTGTCATCCTGTTGTTGCTATAATTAAAGGAGTCTATCTCCCTTCAAATATTAAACTGCCCCAGGGAAAACCAAGGACAGGTTCACAGGCAGTGAGACCTGGGAGGGGTCTTAGAGTGGAGTGGTTGTTGGCACTGGGAAGCCCCTCCATCTGAATTGCCTGGGCTGCTTCTCAGCGGTACAAGTCCTGGTCCCCACTCTGCCTCCTTTATTATTAGAATTCTTGGCCTGGAGGCTCAGGAAATCTCAATTCTTAACAAGTTCCCAAGATTGGTCTATTGCACAGTGATGCTTAGAAGACAGATATCGAGTCACAGAATCAGTCATCTGAATTACAGACAGAGACATCGAGACACTTAAATTTTCCTCCAGAGGGAAAGATAACACTTAGGACTTCTGACTCTCAAACTATTTTTTTTTAATCACAATTCCTTTTGCTTTGTGGAAACCAAGTAATTTCTTTTGTAAACTTTATTTTAGCGTTTATTTATCCAAGGCCAAGGCTTAGCTGAAACAGGAGGCAGTGGGTTTCGCTGATCCAAAGCCCATTTATTATTATTGTTGAAACAAGGAGGAATAGAATTGGGGGGAAATAACAATTAACATTTAATATGATGTCACTGAATAAGAACCATACAAAATGGAATCAGAACATTCATTGCCTTATGACCTAGTGCTGCTGATCTAGAATGCTTTCTTACTGCACAGTTATCTGAATGAGACTTCTTGACACTGATATGGTTGTCTCCAGATGACAGGGGTCAAAAACGTCTTAGTACATAATGGATATTTCAAAATGCTTTCTTGGCTTTATATTGACTCTGCCCTGGTGAGATATGTGCTAGCTTATCCATTTAACTGATAAGATTCAGAGAAGTAGTAAGATTTTCCTAAATTTGGTTAGCAACTGACTGAAGTTCAGAGAATATTATAAAGAACACTAATATTAATAAGTTTTTGAGCGTTTGCAGCCCTCTGGACACTTGTGAACAATTTTCTTACTCAATCCTCACAGGTACTTTTATGTACCTAATTTATACCTCCTCACAGCCCCAGGAGATAGTGGTAGCACTTTTTACTGATGAATAAACTGAGTTGTAAAGAAGAAACCACTTTTTAATCACTACTTTATTCAATAAACAGATGTTGATTTTTAAGTTCTGGATATTATCTAGGCTCTAGAGACACCAAGTAAGCCAAGTCTCTCCTTTCAGAGAGATGACACTTGAGTGGGGAAAGATGAGCACTAAGGAAGTAAATACATAAATAAATATATAAATGAGCATGAAATGAGAATGAAAAGAATAGTCCTCAGGGAGTCCCTCGGCACTGGGGGAAATGATCTGTGTGGTCAGATAAGTCAAGCTTGAACAGCCACAGAGGGAGGTGAGGAAAGGAGCAGGTTTCTGACCAGGGGAAGAACAAGGGCAAAGACCCCGAAAGTGCTTGGCATATCTCTCTTGATCCAGCAAAGAGACTAGAGCAGCATGATCAAGAGAAGGTAGGTAGTGTGGGATGAATCAAAGAGGGGGCTGGAGGTCACATCCGTTAAAGGTAAGGGAAATCCTTCGACTGAAAGAGGGTTAGGAAGCCACTGGAATATACCGGGCAGCAGAGTGAAATAAAACGATGTATTATCCCAGGACTGCTCTGAATGCTGTGGAAGGAATACTCAACAGAGAGCAAGGGTGGAACTCCTCCAGGGTTGTACAATAAAGCGTTAGGAAATGGTGGCGGCCGTCCTTGTCTCAGTATGTCTGTCTCGTTTCCTGCACCAGCTTCCTGAGGAGGTAGAGCTGCATCTAGTGAGCATGCTCATCTCACTCTCTGTCCCTCCACCACAAACCAGAGAACCACCATGCATACAGGGGTTGTTGCCCTCTGGCAAAGGACATACTGGGGTGGGCCAGCAGACAGAGCTGTGCTTGCTGCAGGTGAATGTGGCCAGGACTTTCCCAAGGCCACGGCCACAGGAAGCCCTCACTCACCTTGGACTTCTCTTGATGCAGCTCTATCTGAATGTCTGTGAGCTTGGTCCTGAGGTCTTCATTGGCAGCTTGAAGGGCGACAATGAGTGCCTCGGGCTTCTCGCCCTTATTTCGCCCTTTCTTGGACATTGTTCCTTTCTAAGTGGAGTCTGTTGGTTTGTAATCCTTTCAAGCAGGTGCTGCCATGTTACTGATTCTTAGCCTGGGGTGCGTGGTTTCAGCATCTACTGCATGGCGCTCCTTGGTAAGGTGTCCACATCTGCCCTGGAAGCCCTGAGAAGAGGCAGAGACAGCAGTGACTGTTTGGCAAAGACCTGGGCTTGGAGCCAGGAGGTACACTCTCTGCCTGAGTGGCCTGCAGCTGCCTCCTCCTGAGGCTCTCCTGTCTCTGGCATCTCCTCCACACTTTGCACTGAATTTACAGTGGTTTCTCCAAAAGCCTAGTCTGATCATGTCAACGCCCTGCTGCTCCAGCTGTAAGCATATGACTTTCCCATCTTGGAGTGCTCTTCCTGAATCTGCCCACTCTTCTATCCTTATCCCTTCCAGGTCAGTCACTGATAGTCTGGCCATTAAGGAACATGGGTCTTAAGGAAAGTCACCTATGTGGTCGTCTCCAAACGCTCAGAGCTCGAATTTTAAGAAAATCCAATGTATGTAGACTGAAGATTATGTAATGGCTAAACGACAAGACGTGGGGATTAAGTATTAATGGATTAGTGGGTTAAATGAATTACTCAGACATTCAGTTAATGTTGTTAAGAGTTTCTTCCATATGCTTTGCTAGGTGCTATATGTTGAAATAAAATAAAATAAAAAGAGTTCCAAGGCAGAAGAACAATCCTCTCCATCATCACCACTATCATCTCTCTGATTAGAGTTTTAAAGAAATACACACCAATTGTTTCAGAAGTATAGACAAGCACTTTTCCTTCTGCCTGGGGTGAATAAGAAAAGCTCCTGAGGAAGGCACCATTGGCCTGGTACTTAAGGAGTGGTGCAGCATCAATAGATGGAGAAACAGATAAGGCATCCTGGGCTGAGAAAATGGCCAATGCTGAGACACAGCAGAGACAAGCCACAGTGATTATTGTATGGAAAAGATGGGATCTTGTTAATTACAGTCTGGATATGGATATGTCTGGTGGGCACTAGTGATGGAAGGGTTCCTGGAAGTGAAAGATGGTGAGAGACCTAGAATTCTAAGCTTAGAATTTTGTAATATTTTTTTTTCAGTCAGCAGTGGAGAAGCTGTTGAAGTACCTGGCAGGCGGGAGCACTAACAGGAAAGAGATTTGGTGTGGTGTTCTGATGGCAGAGTGGGGAGAGAGTGGAGGCAGGGAGACCAGCCAGAATGCTATTGAATTTGTCTAGGTGATGGGTGATGAAGGCCTAATCAAAATGCCTGGTTTACAAATCCTTAAATACTTCATAAAAACAAGGGGGAGTCAGAAAATTATGAGCATTGAATGGTTAATGTCACTGGGAAAAACATGACAAGATACTGGAGAAAGGTTCCCATGTAGTTGTTCAAATAACAGAGTGTTTTGTACATTGAGGTGCTTCAGTCCACACCTAAGTGTGTGTGTGGGGGGGTGTTCTGCTGATCATCCATGTGTTCCAGCAGCTGCTATGCTCTCAAGGGTCTTGTATTTATCTTTGAGGGCTGTGCTGGGATCCTGGGCTGTGTGCCATCCCTCATGAGCACTGGAACTGTGCCCTTAGGAGTGTGTCCGGGAGACTTGGGAATAGGGAGAGTCTAGGAGGGTGAGCCTGCCTACAGCAGTCATTAAACTGTCCACCATGTTCAATCCTGGGCTAGATACCAGAGTTGGCCTTCCTGCTTTTGCAAATGTTGCCTGATCATTAAACTGGAGGGCTGGAAGACTTCTAAAAAGCAACCTTTCCTTGCAGTTAGTAGTAAAATGAATTAAGCAAGCATTATTGAACACTACTAGGCATAAAGACAAGTATGAGTCTACTTAAAACCAAGTAGGTACTGATTTTAAGTATAATCAGGGCTAACTGGTTTCTTTTCCTTTGGTTGATCTTTAAATGTTGGAGTTCCCCAGGCTTCTCCAGAGCATATCTCTTGGCCTCTTCTGTGACTCCCAGTTTTATATCATTAGCTCTAAGCATTCTTCAAACCCCACACTTGTATGTAGATTCCACTGTTTATTTACCAAATTCACTTGAGTATCTGATTGGCATCTCAAATCTAACATAAATAATGCACTACCTTTATAACTAGTCTCCTAAAACCACATTCTCCCAAGTTTCCTCGTATCATTAAACGGGACTGTCACATGTCCTGTTGTTCCTGACACAAGCTTGGAAGTCATTATTTTCTTCTACTTTATTCCTTATTTTTCTTAACCAGTCTTCTGGGATGTTCTTTCTGCTTTACCTTTCAAATAATTATCTTTAGCCAACTTCTGTCAAACCACTAAAGTGCTGTTGGGACACAAGAAAAAGGAGCTCAGGAAAAAAAAAAAAAACTTCCTATTTTTTCACATGGCTTTCCTGAATGAAGAGTGGGAATTTTAAAATGGAAAATATGGAGCAGCAGAGGAAAGAACTTGATCAAAAACCTGGAGCCACAGATTTGCCTGATGTATTCAGAAAAGGCTGTGAACTGGGAGAGGATAGGTTGAGGTCAGATTTCAAAGTTTCTTGCATGATAACCTGGGAGTTTGGATTTGATTAGGCAGAAGTGAGGAAATGGCAATATTTGACTATTAAGTGTAATAATAAAAATAAGAGCGGATGGTGACTGACTTGAGTATCTGATTGGCATCTCAAATCTAACATAAATAATGCACTATCTTTACTACTAGTCTCCTAAAATCTCATTCTCCCAAGTTTACTCTGCTCCCATCAATCAGTCCATCATTTGGACTAGGCACTGAATATTCTACTCTCATTTAATTCCCACAAAAATTCAGGGACAAATCATTCACAGAAAGATTAGATCATTTGCTTAAGCCGATCAAGTGTTGGCAGCAAAGCTCAGGTGTGAATCCAGGCTGTCTGAGACTGACCCAAACTCCTATCCTCTCCTATCCTCTGGTTCACACTCCTTTATATTGTGTTTTAGAAATGTTAACTGTGTGGTTATGAAAGATGAGTTACTAAAGAGGGAGAGATGGGAGGAGGAAATCAGACTGCTTCAACAGTCCATGTGAGAGGTGACATGGGCCTGAAGGGATGAAAAAGAGAGGCAGCTTTAACAGAAGGAGACATTGATGGAATTATGTTCTCTTCTTAAACATTGTTACTGGTTTGAACATTCTCTCCTGTTACACATAATAAGTGCAAACTCTCAGGAACTGCTTGTAGCCAAAATGTGCAAAGCAACAGGTACAATAGATACATTTTGCATTTTCATTTATAATCCTTTCCAAAGAATTATAATACTATGCACCTGATTTCATGTATTTTTAATCTGGGAAGTAGGAACGTAATCCCATAAAAGCTGAAGAAAAAGAATGGGTAAAAGAATTAGATAAATGTTCAGGGGAGAAAAAAGCAACATGGGAAATTAGAATCAGCTTATGGATATCTTAAGGTGGGAAACTACACAACTATGATCCTATGCACCCCTCTGGTGGCATAGAACTTTCTAACATCTTCTCTAGGGGTGATGGGTGCCTGGCAATTTCATTTTCTAAATTCACTATTAAAGGTGTAGCTTTTTATGAGATAAAAGTCACTCACTCCCCATGAACTCTACACTTTTAAAGTGCATAATTCAATTGTTTTTAGTATATATTAACACAGTTGTACAAACATCATCATATTCAATTTTAGAACATTTTCATCATTCCTAAAAAAAAACCCTGTATTGATTAGTAGTCATTTTGAGATTCTCTCCCAAACTCTCTTAGCTCTCCCTGTAAACTGCTAATCTACTTTTCATATGGATTTGCCCATTCTGAATATTTTGTATAAACAGAATCATACAACATATATTATTTTCTGCATGTACAACTGACTATAGTCACCACCCAGTTAATCCATTCAACTGGATTAAGGTTCTGATTAGGTTAAGGCTCTTATAATGTATTCATTTGACCTTTTACTTTAGTGTAATTTTTTCAAGGTTCATCCATGTTGTAGCATATATTGATACCTAATTTCTTTTTATAGGATTTTTTTTTGGGGGGGGGATGACTGGGGATTGAACCCAGGAGTGCTTTACCACTGACTGAGCTACATATCCAGCTCTTTTTATTTTTTGGTTTTAAGGCATGGTCTCACTAAGTTGTTAAGGGCCTTGCTAAGGTGAAGCTGGCCTGGAACTTTCCATCCTCCTGATCAGCTTCCCAAGTTGCTAGGATTACAGGTGGGCACCACCACATCTGGCACTTCATTTATTTTTACTGTTGAATAATATTCCCTTGTGTGGACAAACTGTATGTTATATATCCACTCATCACCTGATGGACACTTGTGCTGCTTTTGCATAAGAGCCTTAAGGTCAGCTTTTGAGAGAAGCTCGTGACCCTGAAGAGAGATCCCACCCTTCAGGTGTGTGCTTAAGAGCACAAAGGAGAACACCTGAAGTGTCCCAGCACACAGATGGGTGTTTGTAGACCATCCAGAAATTCTTTGTCATTGAGGATGTCTGACCGCAGATGATGTGGAGGAGGGATAGAAGCCTTGTTCAACTAAGGACCAGTCCTCACAGGAGCTTTATAACATCAAACACTTGAAGGAATTTTAGGTGAACCCTACATTTCCTTCTCATAGCTACAGGGTCAGGCAGTAGAAGCCTCTGACAACATTATGAGGTATCAAAGATGTGAATTTTACTCTATCCTTGTGGCCCTACTCCATTATATCATGCACCTTCTACAGTCAGAGTGGCTGAGTTCTCTGTTATGACATCTCTGAAGAAGATATTAGAGACGATGGAAAGACTCCCAGGATTATTTGCATTTTAAATGGAGGATTGCTGCTCAAGAGCAAGACTTAATGCAGGAATAGATTGTTAATGGAAGAATAACAGACACCACTCACTCATTTAACAGACATTTACTAAGGAGGAAATATCATGTAGTATTTTAGAGTAGAGCTACCCAAATTTTTGGTCTGATTGCATCAAAATATATGAGAGAGCCTTGGTGATCTGGGGATTTTTCTATAGTTGCTGCCAGGGGATTCTGGCTCACAGGCCTCTTTGAGGGCATCTAGTACAGTATATGCTATGGAGTTTAACTGTCACCTATGTGATTTGGATTAAACCATTTAATTCTCAAGACCTCAACTTT